TCAGATCTTTTCCCAAAGGAATACCAATGCTGTTTGAACTGTGACTCCTTGCAACTACTTAGAACCCTAGCTATATTCCAGTATTGACCTTGAGCTGAAGTAGTTTCTAAGCTATGACTCATCTTTTGGCTTGTTTTTTTTTTTTTTTTAAACAGGAAATACACAGAGTATTAATTTGAAGAATTTCAGTTATCCCTCTTAAACAGTATGTTGCTTGTCAGAGTTGCTAGGACATGCTTTTCTGGTAATCAACAGCCTACCATTGAGTGTATATGTGCTCATTGGTTGAGCATAATTCACTTGTAAGAAGACATATAAATCTGTCTAAGAAGACTGTGAAGATAAGACCATCCTTTCTGACTTCTTTCAGGGGTTCCATCTATTTCACCAGAGGGATGGAGATGCAGGAGGCTGAGGCTGAACAGAACAGGTGGTGTGTGTGTGTGTTTGTATCTGTAAATATCACCTCACTGTTTACAGTACATTGGTCTCTCTTCATGCAGGGCCTTGTATAAGCCAAACCAGGAGGAATTGTTCCCGTGCTTAAAGCCAAAAACAACATCCTGACCAGCAGGGGGACAGAGGTCAGCTCAAGGCAACAGCTATTGGGAGGGAGCTGCAGGACATTAAGAACTTTGGAGGATGTTACAGAGAGAAACCCTGTCTCAAAAATCCAGGGGGTGGGGGAAGAAAAAAAAAAGAAAAGAACTTTGGAGGAAATGAGTTGTTTAAAAAGAAGACAAAGTGTAGAAAAGAACACTTGGTCTTAGCCAAAAGGCTGAGAAGTGATTAGAGAAGGGCCAACACTACATCATGTATTTCTGGAATTTAAGATATTCACAATCATAGAAGCAGAGAGTAGAATGGGGTGGGCACCAGAACTGGAATGTGAAGAGAACGGAGAGATGATGGTAGTCAAAACGTGTGAAGTTTCAGTTACATCTCTGCATAGGGTAGTAATTACAGATAATAGTAAGGTGTTGTATACTTTTAAATTGCTAAGACCATATTTCAAATGTTTACATCAGAAAAAATAATTATTTCAGTTAATATATAGGTAATTTGCTTGATTTAATCATTCTATACTGTATATGTTTATATGTAGGTATAAAAACATCATGCTGTTCCCCATAAACATATCATTTGTCAGTACACATGAAAACAATACAAATTAAAAACATGAAACATTGTCTATGCAGTGAGTTAAAAAACAAACAAAAACTACACCGTGGGTGTGGTGACCCATGCCTTTAATCTCAGCACTGGGGAGGTTGGGGAATGAGGGGAAATGGGACTAGAGGCAGATGGATCTATATGGATTTAAAGCCAGCCTGGTCTATAAAGAGTTCCAAGCCACAGTGAGATCGTGTCTCAAAAAAGAAAGGAAGAAAGGTAAGATGTACTTTGAAGGAAGTATATGAAATCTGTGTGAAACTGACACTCTGGCTGGCCTGTTACTTGTTATGTAGACCAGGCTGGCTTAGAACTTGTGGAGATTCTTCTGCTTCTACCTCTTGAGCACTACTGTTATAGATTTGAGACATTACATCTGGCTTTGTTTTGTAGCAGTTGCCTGGGAGTTCAAACATTTCATTCTAGAGCAGCAGTTCTCAACCTGTGGGTCACAATTCCTTTAGGGTAACATATCAGATATCCTGCATATCAGATATTTACATTATAATTCATAACAGCAAAATTACAGCTATGAAATAGCAAGAATAATTTTGTGATTGGGGCTTACTGTAACATAAGAAATTGTATTAAAGAATTGCAGCATTGGGCGGGAGAGATGGCTCAGAGGTTAAGAGCACTGACTGCTCTTCCAAAGGCCCCGGGTTCAATTCCCAGCACCCAGACGGCAGCTCACAACTGTCTGTAACTCCAGTTCCAGGAGATCCGAAACCCTCACACAAAACTCCATGCAGGCAAAACACCAATGCACATAAAATAAAAATAAATGTTAAAAAAAAAAAAAAAGAATTGCATCATTAGGATGGTTGAGAACAACTTTTCTAGAGGGAGGTTCCTTAAAGCTCAGGAAGTTCCAAGTACTAAATTGAAACATTTCTTCCAGGAAGAGAAGAGGTTCATGATACTTAGGAAGTAGACAACTTGCAAGTCTCAAGAAGTTCCTGAAGCTAACAAGATGCACAGGACTCACACCCCACCCACACCTCCCACACCCCATTTCCTCACAGAAGTAGGAACAATTGTTAGAGGTAGGAGAGCAGGCACAGTTGTCTAGAAGGGTCTTTCTCACTCATGTGCTGCCTGCAAGTTGTGCAGACAGCTCTAGGAATCCAGCTTTCCAGTGTCATCACTCAGGTTGTGGGTGATGCAGTTGCCTTTGAATTAAGTGTCCCTGCTCCTGTGACTAATCTCAATAAACTCATTGGTTTTCCAAACTAAAGTTTGTGTAATTGTCATTTTCATCTGTAGTTGGATACTTACCTGGGACGAGTAGACATTTGGTTTTCATCTCAACAGTAAGTTTTTCCTAACAGGCTCCTAGAGCATGGCTTATCACAGTGAAGGGTCATCTTAACAACTGGGTATGTGTTGATCATATCCCCTTCTGATCATTTATATTTCCCCTTTCTACCTATATAATATTTGATATATGTTCCCACAACTAAGCAATAAGAAAGGTGTGTTCTCTTACTCTAGTGTTTTATTTACAAACAACACTGGAAATCCATTAGAAAAGTGGATTTAAATAGTGATTTGTTAAAGTACACATGGTTGCACACTCCTTTAATCCAGCATTTGGGATGCAGACATAGGATCTCTGTGAGTTTCATGCCAGTCTGGTCTACATAGTGAGTTCAAGGCCTGCCAGAGCTACACAGTGAAACCCTTTCAAGAAAAGCATAAAAAGTGATATGTTCACCAAAAGCATACCCCATTTGGGTCCTTCCTGACCAACTGGGGCTTAGTTTGGGCATCTGTGTCTGCATTTCTTCTTTCTTTCCTTGTTCTGATGCTGGCCACTCACTCCACAGATGGAACACAAATGGATTTCTTGGGGAGCATTCTACATTTGTTCTGTTGTCTTCCCTGAGACTCAATTCTGTGGTCTGGCTTCATTTGTGGGACAGTGTGATCTTCTGAAAGTTTTTCTTCATGATCTGTTTCTTAACTCTTTGACGCCCTGTGCTTGGTTAGTTTTTCTGCTGCTCTCTTCATAGTGGTATAAGTTAAAGTGCCTCAGTTGCAAGGCTCTAAAACTCACCTGTGCTCCAGGCCTTGGACTTTCCCCTGGTTTATAAAGGTCCTTTGTGCTTTCCTAGAAAATCCGGGATGAATCAGGAGCTATGTTGTAAGGTATGCTGATCCTTCTGGGATTCTAGTTTGATAGTTGTTTAAACAGTATGTAGCAATTTGGATTGGGTTTGCAAGGGAGGATTGTTGCCAAGTCTCTGAAGTAGGCCTTTGCCCTTAGCCTTTATTCCTTCTTTTCTTTTTGTTTGTTTGACAGGGTCTCATGTGTCCCAGGCTTGACTTCTGTGGAGCAGAGGATGGCTTCAAACTCCTGATCTTCCTGTCTGCCCTCCCCAAATGCTGTGATTATGGATATGTGCCAGTACACCCAAGTCTCCTTTTCTTTCCTTTCTTTCCCCTTTCTCTACCCTATTTCTCTATGGAGCCCTGAGGCTAGCTGTGTAGACCAGAGTGGCCTAGAACTTTTGGCCAATTCTTCTGACTTTTTTTTGCTTCTTGAGTGCTGAAATTACAGGCATGTATAACCCTTATTTTTCTTTCTGTCTCACACACACACACATACACACACACACACACACACACACACACACACACACACACACACACACACCCCTTTGAGGAAAGGTCTCAATTATATAATATAGTCCTGGCTCTACAGAACATTCTGTCTTCAAACTCCCAGAGATCTGCCTGTCTCTATGCTGGGTACATTTAAAGGCATGTGCCACCATGCCTAGCCCCCCTCCCCTTATTTTTCAACAGAAAAATTAGTGAAGAGAGAGTTCCTTAGTCAATAGTCACATAGTAGGTTGAGTCTCATGCCATTGAAGTAGCTACGGTTTAGTATTTTTCCTTGACATTGGTGGTAGCTTAAGAAAGAAGTATGGCTTAGTATGCGTAGATACATCTTTTTGTATTGTTTTGTTTTTTCGAGACAAGGTTTCACTAAACAGCTGTGGTTGTCCTGGAACTCACTTTGTAGACCATGCTGGCCTTGAACTCACAGAGATCCTCCTGCCTCTGCCTTCTGAGTGCTGGGATCAAAGGTGTGTGCTACTATGCCCAGCTGAGTTGATACATCTTAACTGTGAGTTGATTGATTGATAATATGCGTGTAGTTAAAGTTCAGGAATTTCATCATTTTCTGAACCAATAGCCAAGAAAAGTTTCTAGATGGATAAAACAGAACCACAATGCAGTAATCTTTTAGCCAGTCAAAATATATATGCACAAAAATCTCAATTTAAATAATTCTAAAATAAAGAAATAGCTGTTTTGGCTAAAGACAGGGGTACTGGCAGAGTGCTCTAATTCCCGACTCTTCGGAGGAGTTATTTCTCAGTATTACTTCATGTATCCCAGACCTGTTTCCTCTCTCTGAACTGACTCTACTTTCTGGCCTAAGATATAAAGAATAAAATTACACAAATTTTAACCCTTTTAAAGTATTTTTCAATTAGAATTTGAAATTCCTGTTGTTTATTTATGTGTGTGTGTGTGCACACTTGTGCAGTGGAGGTCAGGACAGCTGCAGGAGTCTGTTCCCTTCCTTCTGCCATGTGGACCTGACAGTGAACTTTCCCTGCTGAGCTGCCTTTCTAGCTGCCCGCTCCTCTTGTTTTTGAGACAGGGTCTCATGTGGCCCAGACTGTCTAAAACTTGATATGTACCCAAGTCTTGTTTGGGGAACAAATAATAATTTTTGCCTGCTTGTTTCTTTTATGTTTCCAAAATATGTTCTCTTTTTCCTAATTATTCTCACTTTGTTTGTTAAACAGGCTACTAAGCAGTTTCTTGAGGAGATCAACAAGTGGACAGTTCAGTACAATGTTTCTCCACTCTCTTGGAACGTGGCTGTCAAGTTCCTCATGGCCAGAAAGTTTGATGTGCTCCGTGCCATAGAGCTGTTTCACTCCTACAGAGTAAGTGAACCGGGACAGACGGACTGTAATGGTTGAGTTAAGTACTGCTGTTCTTGCTGCTATACTTCACACACAGTGATTCTCCTAATTTTCTCCATACCTGTTAAAAATGGATCAGTGCCCACCAGCCCTGGGAGAGCTGAGGTTGGACTGGCCAGTTCCTGGAAACACTGCTTATGCACCCAGAGCTTGCTTGGAGACCAGCATGCTACATGGTTGAGGCTACGGAAGTACTCAGATGTCATCCTGTGACAACTCCTTCTTGGAGTTTGAGGCCTTGCTCTCTTCTCTGCCTCCTGGCTAACCTATTTGGTACACTTCACAGATATTTAAGGTTCTTTGAAGTTTTAAAAAGCTGCCATTCTGCTGGATGCTGAGCTTAGCCATTCAGGAAAGGGGCGGGGGTGAGCACTGGAAAAGAAAAACAGCTGCATTAGCTAGGCCCTGTTCTTAGAAGTATCCTTTTTGTTTGTTTGTTTGTTTTGTGTTTTGTCTTTTGAGACATGGTTTCTCTATGCCCTAGAACTCTATTTGTAAACCAGGCTGGCCTCAAACTCAGAGATTTTCCTACCTTTGCCTCCTGAGTGCCGGGATTAAAGGCGTGTGCCACCACTTCCCAGCCTTAGTAGTGTTTCTATGCAAACATAGCTACATCAACCTTTTGCAGTTTTTAAAAATTTACTTTGTTGTTTAATATGTATGAGTATGTATGTGCACCATGTGCATACCTGGTGCCCATGGAGGTCAGAAGAGAGCATTGGATTCCCAAGTACTAGAGTTACAGGAAGTTGTGAGCTGACATTTGGGTTGCTGGGGATGGAGACATGGTCATCTGTCTACAAGAGCATGGGTTCTTTTAACTGCTGAGCCCACTGTCCAGCCTCTTGATGATTGTTTTGTTTTGGTTTGGTTTTTCTTTTTCCTTTTTTCTTTTTTTTTTGGTTTTTCGAGACAGGGTTTCTCTGTGTAGCTTTGAGCCTTTCTTGGAACTCACTTTGTAGACCAGGCTGGCCTCGAACTCACAGAGATCCTCCTGCCTCTGCCTCCCGAGTGCTGGGATTAAAGGCATGCACCACCACTGCCTGGCTTGTTTTTGTTTTTCAAGACAGGGTTTCTCTGCATAGCCTTGGCTGTCCTGGATCTCTCTCTATAGACCAGGCTGGTCTCATAGAGAGCTGCCTGAATCTACCTCCTGAATGCTGAGATTAAAGGCCTGCACCACCACTGGCTATAATTTTTTAAAGATTGATTTTTGTGCTATGTTTGCTTTCTTTGTTTGTAGCATCTTGGATAGAAATGCTGTGTGTTATGTTACTTTGTGATTAGAAAATTCCTTTGAAGAAATATATTTTTTTTGGGGGGGGAGGTGACGGTTTCAAGATAGCCCCAGTTGTCTTGGAATTTGTTGGGTTTGCTTGAAACTCACAGAGATCTGCCTTCCTCTGCCTCCCAAGTGATGGAACTAGAGACATGCATCACCATGCCTGGCTACATCACTACAATATTAACTGTGCCATGATTGCTACTTAGAGAGTAGACAATTACAGACATGTTCTGATAAGGTAGCAGTACTAGGGAAGAACATTTCATTAAGCAAAGGAAGCATTTCTAAAGAAATTACTTCTAGCTGGACATAGTGGCTTACTCCTTTAATCCTAGCATTCAGGAGGCAGAAACAGTTGATTCTGTGAGTTCCAGGCCAAGCCTGTTCTATGTAGTGAGGTCTAGGCCAGCCAGGGCTACATAGTGGCACTCTGTTTCAAAACAAACAAACGAAACACCTAAGGGATGTGTGGGAATCAAGGACTGGTCAAGTACGGTAAAGAAGGCAGAAAGTATGGGCTGGAGAGCAGCTCAGCTATTAAAGGTTTACAGCCAAAAATACAAGGCACAGTCTGTTCAAATGTCCAGTACTAGAGAGTAAAATTTAGCTAAGGCGGAAGGTTTAGTGGGAGTCAAGGTGTGGTAAGAGTCCGAGTAAGAGATTGAGAGCACAGATCAATAAAGTCAGATCATTAAGGCCTCAGAAATCCATTAATGATACAAGCAACGTGATAGATTTTTTCCATATTTGCATTCCAGAAAGATTTTGACACAGTAGGTTTTGGAGAGTATATCTCAACTGTTATCCTTGAGCCAGAATAATCAGTTTTAAGCACATCATGTCAGGGGAGATGGAGAAAAGTGGACAAATTCTAGAATTCAAATGGGTAGGAACTACTTAAACTGGTATGTGATGAAAAGGAGTCAGGTATTCTGGGTTGGGACTATTGAGTCAATATCAATTGCTGGCATTTGTTAATTTAGGAGACATTGAAGTGGGGTGGGTTCATGTAGAAAGAAAAACATAATTTTAGTTTGTCTGTGCCTTTGGAATATCCAAATAGACATGTCCTGTAAGCAGCTAGAATCTGAGTGTGGGTTAAAGAGAAGAAATCTGCACTAAACTAGAGATTTCTGAATGACCAAACTAGAGCTGACTATTGGACGCATCAGAACAGATGGTCCTGTTAAGGTAGCTTTGGACAGGAATTTTGGTAACAGTAAGCTGCCCTGGAATGCATAAGGCGTATTGCTAAGGCAAAGGAATTCACAATTCATTTAGTTGACTTCTGATGTCGCTTAGCTCTGAGATTTGATGATTCCATAAAGTTGTTCTGGGTATATTGTATTTTCATATTACTTATCTCTTTATTGTTTCCGTTTTAGGAAACAAGAAGAAAGGAAGGCATCGTGAAGCTGAAACCTCACGAGGAACCTCTTCGTTCTGAGATCCTCAGTGGGAAATTCACCATCTTGGTGAGTCTTTAGAGCTTGTCTTGTGCTTTGTTACTTACTATTATAGTTGTTGTACTATTTGGGTTTTTGTGCGTAGGTTCCTATCAATACATTTTGCTAGTAAATTATTCTAACAATAATTGAATTATTACTAATTAAAAATTGTTAGTTATTAGTAATAGTTGAATTATTGAGTTATGGAGCAGTAGACTTAAAATTTTTCTCCATTGGTACTTTAAAGTTGTTGGTCAGCATCTGAGAAGGGTTAATAATATGTGAGAACATATCCTTACTTAATGTAAACTCTCCATTTATAGAGATCTCTTGGCCTCTCAGATAAATGTATAGTAATATGTTTATGGTAGGTCGGGCGGTGGTGGCGCACGCCTTTAATCCCAGCACTCGGGAGGCAGAGCCAGGCGGATCTCTGTGAGTTTGAGGCCAGCCTGGGCTACCAAGTGAGTTCCAGGAAAACGCGCAAAGCTACACAGAGAAACCCTATCTCGAAAAAACAAAAAAAAAAAAAAAAAAAAAAAAAAAAATGTTTATGGTAGCCTGGAAACCATTATCTTAATCTGTTTCTCTCTATCCTGCTGGGAAATTAGTTACAAATCCAGTGCAGAATTGCTTTTAGATTGCTCTGGCTCTGCAGTTGTAAAAAAATGTGATTTTTCTTTTTTTTTTTTAAGCCACAAGAATATGGTTCAAGGGAATGCTGAGAGAATCAGACATGGGTAATGATAACATTTCTCCCTTTGTGGAAGATAGATGCAGATTGAAGATCGAAGAAGTTCTTTTAGTATCTGTTCTCTTCATTTATCAAGTCTTATCCAGCATAATAAGTCTAAATGATTGTTGTGATTTTTTTAATTTGATTCTAAATATTTCTTGTTTCTTTGCTTTAGAATGTTCGAGACCCAACTGGAGCCTCCATTGCCCTTTTCACTGCCAGGTTACATCATCCTCACAAGTCCGTCCAACATGTGGTACTTCAGGCCTTGTTTTATTTGCTAGACAGAGCTGTGGACAGGTGAGCACTGAGATTGTCTGGTTGGTATCTGCATCATTACGGAAGTGAAGTTTTGAGGGATGAAATTCACAAGTGCTTTCACCGTGTCCCTAGGATCCAGCCTGACAGTCTAGGAGGAGAACACACCTCATGTTTTGAAGAGTGTTTATTTCTGGTGTCTTAGGATGCTGGGTGCTCTTGGTTTCCGTCCCCTTGCCTATTTTAGGATTAACAGAAGCTGGGAAAGAGATTCATAACAGTTGTTTGTACATTGAGAATGGTTTATTGAAGAAAGTGAGGAGAAAAGGAACTATGTTGATTGCTTTTGTGTGTGTTTTAATATAGGGCATTCATATGCTAAGTCATGAGCTCTATCATTAGGTTATATCCTAATCCCTCTTTTTTTTAAAATTTTTTATTTTTTGCTGTTAACCTTTAACTTTGAGTGAGATACAGTCTGACTTGTTGCCCAGGGTGGGCTTGAAATCATTCTATAGCTCAGTCCAGATAATGAATTTACTATCTTCTTACTTCAGCATCTCAAATAGCAGAGATTATAGGCCTGTATTACCTGGCCCAGGTCATCTGTTAGTTGGTTTTGTTCATATTAAAACCCTCTTGGGGCTGGAGAAATGGCTCAGAATTGTTAAGAACACTGGATACTGTTTTAGAGGACCCAGGTTCGATTCCCAGCACCCACATGGTGGCTAATAACCATCTATAACTCCAGTCCCATACATCAATGGCTTCTTCTACCTTCTGTGACCATCAGGCATGCCCGTGGTACACAGATATACACGCAGGCAAAACACTCATACACATAAAATAAAAATAATAATTAAAAAAACACAACCCTCTGGGATAACCTGGCGATATACAGGGTTAGCTACTTGCCTAGCATGTGGAAGACTTCAGGTTCTGTCTCTAGTATGGAAAAACAAAGATAAAATAAGCCAGGCCCTGGCAGATCTCTGATTTTGAGGCCAGCCTGTTCTACAGAGCTAGTTCAAGGACAGCCAGGCTACGCAGAGAAACCCTGTCTTGAAAAAAACCAACCAACCCACCAACCAACCAACTAGTCAAACAAACAAAAAACCAAGTAGTACCTGCAGTCTTAGCACTCTGGAATCAGAGGCAGGAGGATCACCACAAATTTGAGGTTTACCAGGTCTACATAGTAAGTTTCAGGCTAGCCAAGGCTACATAGAGAAAATCTGTCTTAGTAAAAACTAAACCAAACCAAATAAACCAACCTGGGAGTTGGTGTTACGTGGCTCCGTGGTAGAGTGCTTGCCTAGCTTGCCTGCTACCCTGTGTTCCCAGTGCTACAAAAATAAAGAAATAGCCAGGTGGTTTGGTGCACACCTTTAATTCCAGCATTCTGGAGGGAGAGGCTGGTGGGTCTTTGAGTTTGAGGCCAGCTTGGTCTACACAGTGAGATCTAGGCTATCCAGAGCTATATGGTGATTCCCTGCCTGAAAAAAAGAGGGTGGGGAGTTTGGGGTGCTGGGAGATGGCTCAGCAGTTTAGAGTACTGGCTAATCATTCAGAAGACTGGGTTTCTATTCCCAATACCCACATGGTGGCTCACAACTATTGGTAGCTACAATTCCAGGAGAATCCGACACCATCTCTGACCTCTGTGGTTACCAGACATGTGGTGCACATACATACATGGGGGCAAAACACTCATACATATAAAGGAAATTAAAAATAACCGTTGGCTTGTTGGCCTATTATACCTGTAAGCACTTAGGAAGTGGGCGAAGATTCTACTATTTTGAGGCAAGCTTAGGTTGTGAGAAGAGACTCTGTCTCAAAAAAGGAGCAAAAACCAAACAAAATAAAATAAAAAAGCCCTGACCACAGCCTGTGGGGATCAGACACGGTGGTACCTTAAAGACTGAGGTGGTAGCAGTGTGAGTTTGAGGCTAGCTGGTGCTACATAGAGAGTTCCAGAATGGTCTAGTTTTTTGTTGTTTTTTTGTTTTGTTTTGTTTTTTCAAGACAGGGTTTCTCTGTATGTAGCCTTGGCTGTCCTGGAACTCAGAGATTTTTTTCTTCCTGCCTCGACCTCTCGAGTGCTGGGGGTTAAAGATGCACCACTACTGCCTGTCTTCTTTTTTGTTGTTGTTTTGTTGTTGTTGTTGTTGTTGTTTGTTTGTTTTTCTTTTTTTGAGACAGGGTTTCTCTGTGTAGTCCTGGCTGTCCTGGAACTCACTTTGTAGCCCAGGCTGACCTCAAACTCAGCGATCTACCTGCCTCTGCCTCCCGAGTGCTGGGATTAAAGGCGTGTGCCCCAACCCCCAGTACCAGTGCTTTGTTTTGAGACAGGGTTTCATACAGCTTTACCTGGCCTAGATTAGGGATTTACAGATTGAGAGTAGCCAAGAGACTGTCTGAGTTGGGGCTCTCTGAATAGTTAACTAGTTACTGTCTTGTTGGTTACTTTTAAAGCTTTTAGCTTCTGCTCTTGATACTTAGTGGGAGATAACATGCAAAGCCTACAATGCTGTTATTCTGAAAAGGAGAAGTAGCCGAGGAGTGAGGACCAGTAACTTCAACAGACTTGTACTCCCTAAGTAGCAGTTTGGAATTTCTCAGCCCTCAGTCTTTAGGGATACTTTCCAGACTGTGGAGACTTTTGAAATGCTCCGTGAGTTTAGGAGAATGAAGGAAAGCCGCCTTTCTCAGAAAATCTAGTATTGACCTCCTAAGTAGAAAGGTAATGCTGTCATGGATATTCACTTATCTATTCTCGGTCTTCCTCAGAGGGACCCATAACCTGTCTTACTGCTTTGGTTGCCCTTCATGTACTGCCTTTCTTTGACACAAGTGCCGTGGACTGTGTTTTAAACTTTTGTATCTCCTGCTGCATATAGCTCAAGAGTCAAACTTAGTGGGAAACAGTTGGCTATCATTGTGACACCTCCTAATGTATACCAAGAAAGCACATTATGTTCTCTGTCATTCCATGTGTGTTCAGCAGATGAGAAATTTCATACAGACTATAGAACCTGGATCATTGTGCCCTGTGGTTTCTTCGTATTTCATTTATTTCCCGTCATTGACTTGTTTTAGGCCCCTATCTTGAGAAAAAAATCTGTAATTCTTTTAAATGGCCCTAGTTGAGCTTGTGGAGAAATGGAAATTCTCTAGACCTGGATGATCTACTTGGTAATTATGCCTCATTTGACAGCGTCTGTGATCTGCTGAATGGTAGTCTCTGTGGGGTTATGAAGAAGGAATCAAGATTAATACTAAATTCTGCCAGAAAACCTTCCGTGCATTTTAGAATGATAAGTGTTTATGCTTTTTTTTTCTTTTTAGAAAGTTAATTCACTAATAATGAGGTATATTAGATACACAACAAACTTTACATACAGGAACTGAATTTTGAAGTATTTTTATACACACATAATTGGCAGGACTTGAGATTTTTAAATGTTAGCTTTTAGTCAGGAGATCCTTCTTAGATTTTGTAGAAGTATGATGCAAAGATGTGGACACAAAAGAATAACCTTGAGGTGGCTGATATCTCCAGTCCTACAAATAAGGAGAGTGAATCATGAGGATTGCTTGGACTTGGAGGCAAGCATGAGTTAAGCGTGTTCAAAGCTAGCCTGGGCTGCATGAGACCGTAGAAGTGTAAGAATTTGCTATCTATAAATAGTATGATCAAATAATTTATTTCTAGACTGGCAAGATGGCTTAGTATCTGAAAGCACTTTCCATACAAACCTGAGGACCGTAGTTTAATCCCTGGATCTCATGGTGGAGGGAAAGGAGGGAGCCAACTCCTGAAAGTTGTCTTCTGACCCCACACTTGCTGTGGCACTCCCCCCACCTCACGCCCCCATGGATGATGTTAAAAAACATGTAAGGATCTAGTTTAACTTTGAATGAAACATTTGTATTGAATTAAATGTTTGTTTAATAATTGGTTTACAGCTTTGAAACTCAAAGGAATGGATTGGTGTTTATCTATGACATGTGTGGTTCTAATTATGCCAACTTCGAGCTAGATCTTGGCAAGAAAGTCCTAAATCTGCTGAAGGTAAGGTTGTAAAGAGGGAATCCTTTTAAGTTTCCTTTTCTCTTTTTATTCTTTGGGGAAGTATTTAGGGAAAATACAAACTTCAGACATTATGTTCAGTTTTAAATATCACCTATATATGATAATTAATATCTGCTTCCTTAGAACAAGAAGTGGTCTTAAAAGTCAATTTGAAAGATTTGAGATGGCCTAGTGGCTCATACCAGTAATCCAAGCACTTGGGAAGCCAAAGGCAAGAGTAATGCCATGGGTTTGAGCTAGCCTGGGCTGTACAGTGAATTCTACTTCAGCCTTGGCTACAAAGTACGATTCAGACTAGCCTGAGCTATATAAGGAGTGAGATCCTTACACACACACACACACACACACACATTCTCCCTCTCTCTCTCTCTCTCTCTCTCTCTCTCTCTCTCTCTCTCTCTCTCTCTCAAACTAAAACAAAAACAAATTAAACGGAAATAAAGAAAATGGAAAATCACAAGCAAATCCTTAGCTACAAAAGTGTTCCTTTTCCAGAGTTTTGTGGAACAGGCCTACCTATGGCAACTGTGAAAAATGCCATCTAGTGACTTTCTAGACATGTGTTGGCTGAATTCAGGATGAAATGTGTTAGGCATTTTACTTTAGTGCATGTAAGTTCATTTGGTCTGTTTATATTCATGTAGAATTTTCCACATATATAGATGTGTAAAAGTCCTATACACCTAGCTTCATAGTTTCTTATCCCTAAATCTTAGGCCTAGTGGCTTGTTTTATAAATATATGTATACATGTATGTGTTTATGTGTGTACAGGTGCACTTGTGTGCTTGTGTGTATGGTAGAGAGCAGACAACGTTAGGTGTTATTCTCAGGCATGTCATCTACTTTTGAGACAAAGTCTGTCATTGGCCTGCAGTTCACCAGTTAAGCTAGACTGGCGCACTCACATGCCCCAGGGGTCCTCCTGTTTCTGCTTCACACTTAGCAATTTTGCATTTTAGTTCTAGAAAATGAATTCAAATCCTTGTGCTTGTGGGGCAAGCACATTACCAACTTAGCTATCTTCCCAGCCATAAAGGTATTTTTACTCTTTGTATTTCAAAGATAATGAGGTAAGGCTTAGGATGTAGTTCAGCTGGTAGCATTCAGAAGGCCTTGTATTTGATTCCAAGTACTTAGTATCAGGAGGTGGAAGCAGGAGGATTAGAAGCCCAAGGTCATCCTTGGCTACACAGCAAGTTCTGTGCCACAACAGGTTGTTTTACTATTGCTGTGACAAAACACCATGACCAAAGTAGGTATGAAAGAAAGCATTTAATTAGAGTCCATGATGGTGGAGCAAAGGTATGGTAGTAGTAACAGTTGAGAACTCACATCTTGATCCAATAGCTGGAGGGAGAGCACACTGGAAATTGTACCAGTCTTTTGAAACTTCAAAGCTTGCCCTCAGCAATACACCGTCTCTAACAGGGCCACACTTCCTCATCCTTCCCAAACAGTTCCACCAACATGGGATCCAGTATTCAAATATATGAGCCTCTGGGGACCATTTTCATTCGAACTACTAGAATGGACTACATGAGACCATGTCCCAGACAACAACAACAACCCCCTACTCCCTAATACACAAAACTTCATTATGATGTGTAACTGTTTAATATGAGTAGGGAAGATTGAATGACATAAAAATAGCTATGGTGGCACATGCCTATAATCTCACCACTCGTGATAAGATGTGTTCAAGACCACCCTGGACTACATAACCAGATCCTTTGTCTCAGAAAACAAAAATATGCAAGTGAAATAACATAAATGTTGAGGAGCTAGGAGTGTAGTTCAGCTGGAGACTATGCACTTGGCATTTGTGGGGTGTATGGTCATGTGGTTATCATACTAGCACTTGAGAAGCTGGGGGGAAAGACTGCCAAAAGTTCCGTGCCAGATTGGGCTACATATGCGTACCAGCCCAGCCCAGGCTGCCTTAGACAAGACCCTGGCTTCAACTAAGGTAAAACAACACAACAGAAGGAAAAACATTTGGGTCAGCTTGTCCTAGAACGGGAGAAAAGCAGAGGGCGGTGGATCTGTGAGTTTAAGGTCAGCCTACACTACACAGCAAGTTCGAAGCCAGTCAAGACAACATAGTGAGACCCTTTCTAGAGGAAAACAAAAAAGGCGCTTGTGTTTCTAGGATAGTGTTTCAGAAACTGAACTGACTAAGGGTAGATGTATATTTTAAAGTATATAATGGGGGGCTGGAGACATGGCTCAGTGGTTAAGAGCACTGGCTGCTTTTCCAGCACCCACCTGGCAGCTCACAGCTGTCTGTAGATCCCGTTCCAGGGGATCCAACATCCTCACATCCTCACAGCAATGCACATAACATAAATTTTTTGTTTTGTTTCTTTTCTTGTTTTTGTTTTTTCAAGACAGGGTTTCTCCATGTAGTTTTGCTGCCTGTCCTGGATCTCGCTCTCTAGACCAGGCTAGCCTTGAACTCACAGAGATCCACCTGGCTTTGCCTCCCGAGTGCTGGGATTAAAGGCATGCACCACCACTGCCCGGCAAAACATAAAATTTTTAAAAATAAAAAAAAGAATGTGTAATGGAAGATGCTTCCTAAAGACACCATCAGTGAACAGGTCTACCAAGACTTTATGAGGTAGCTTCTTTTCTCTGTTTGGTCCTATTGTGACATAGGGTCCCTACGTAGTATAGGCTTGCCTAGCACTTGCTGTGTAGACCAGGCTCTGCACCGCCCAAGGGCTGGTACGGTACAGTTATTTAAGTGGACTATGCCTGTTCTCTTATCTTTTTGCCCTGATGAAGATGATGTAGTGTAATGATTTCTGCTATCCATCATTTTATTGAAATCAATGTATTTCTCCAAATTGATTAGGCACTTAAAGGGGCTTTGGGTATTTAGGTCCTGAAATAAATTCTTGTGTCCTTGAAGGAAGGGATAAAAAGTAGTTTTTAAGTCTGAATGAAGAAGCCTTTGGAGAACCTTGTTGTGGGTGTTGTGTAGTTTGTGTAAGAAGTGTTTGTAAATTCCTCAAATTTAATAGAACCAAGACTAACTGGAGCTGGAGGCGGTGGTGCATGTCTTTAATCCTAGTACTTGGAAGGCAGAGACAGGTGTATATGTGTAAGTTCAAAGCTAGACTGGTCTTCAGAGAAAGCTCCAGGACAGCTGGGGCTACATTGAGACAGAGAAACCCTGTCTCTAAACAAACAAACAAACAAACAAAAAAACGAACGCTAACTGGAAAGACAGAGAGTAACAAGTGTTGCTTGAGTTTTCCTGCCTGGCCCACAGTCAGGACAAATCTCTCTCACCCGCCAGTCCCAAGCCGCTCAAACCCGATCAAGTAAACACAGAGACTTATATTGGTTACAAACTGTATGGCCGTGGCAGGCTTCTTGCTAACTGTTCTTACAGCTTAAATTAATCCATTTCTATTAATCTATACCTTGCCACGTGGCTTGTGGCTTACCGGTACTTTACATCTTCCTTGTCCTGATCGCGGCTGGCAGTGTCTCCCCCACCAGCTTCCTGTTCTCTCAATTTTCCTCTCTGTTAGTACCGCCTATACTTCCTGCCTGGCCACTGCCAATCAGTGATTTATTCATTGACCAATCAGCAACACATTTGACATACAGACCATCCCACAGCAAACAAGTGAAATTAAGATTGGTTTATTCAAAACGTAAGAAAAATTAGGGTAGGAGATTTTTAAAGCTACAGTTGCCTTTTTTAAAGCCAATTACCAGGATTTATTTATTTATTTATTTATTTATTTATTTACATACTTAATTTTCATGTGTGCATTAATGTGTGTATATGTGAACGTCAGGGATCAACCTTAGATGCCATCCTTAGGACTTGTATACCTTGTTTTTTTGAGATTGTGTCTTTCCCAGGGACTTGGGGCTCACTGATTATTAGGCTAGGCTGCTGGCCAGTGAGCCTCAGGGATCCATCCTTTTGTCTCACTTGTGCTGGTGTTACACACCTAGGTTTTATGTGGGTCCTGGAGATTGAGTTCAGGTCCTCCACACTTGTGTGGTTTGTACTTCCCTGACTGAGCCATCCCGCCAGCCCCCTGGTTTCTTACTACATGGGAACCCTGCTCCCGAGAAAGGCTGGAGTGTGAAAAAGTGTCATGAAACCAAGCACTGTCACTTAGCAGTGATATGCCATCTCTATGTCTTGTATACATAGGATTCTCTTTTTTTCCTCTAAGAGTAGTTTAGACTGTTCCTTTTTTGAGACCTCATTTGTACTTGTACAGACTAGATCATATTTATTTATTTATATATTTATTTTGTAGTGTTGGGTATCAAACCTATGTCATGTGTATGCTAAGCACACACTATAACTGAGTTATGCCTCCAACCTTGATTGTATATATTGGTTTAATAAACAAATGGAGAAAAGATTAAAAATAGGGGCTGGAGAGATGGCTCAGAGGTTAAGAGCACTGACTGTTCTTCCAGAGGTCCTGAGTTCAATTCCCAGCACCCACATGGCGGCTCATAACCATCTGTAATGAGATTTGGCACCCTCTTCTGTATACATAATAAATAAATAAATCTTTAAAAAAAGATTAAAAATAGAAATATTGTATGTGCACATAGATATTGAACTACATGAAGATTATATAAGTAACATGTTTATTTTATCTTCAGTTTATTAAAAACCTAAGTTTTTTTTTTTGTTTTGTTTTGTTTTGTTTCGTTTTTTGATTTTTCGAGACAGGGTTACTCTGTGTAGTTTTGGTGCCTTTCCTGGAACTTGATCTGTAGCCCAGGCTGTCCTCAAACTCACAGAGATCCGCCTGGCTCCTCCGGAGTGCTGGGATTAAAGGCGTGCGCCACCATCGCCCAGCTAAAAAACCTAAGTTTTAAGAAGCTGAACTTTTGTAGGATGCATATTTATATGCTTGTGTGTAGAAAAGTCAGGGCTGCAAGATGGCTGGTAAAGGCACTTGCTGTGAAAGCCTGGTGACCTGTGTTGAACACCTAGAATCCATACAGAGGTGAAAGCAGGGGACTCATATGGACACTATGGCACCCATGCACCCACTCACCAGTAATACAAAATAAAATAATAGTTCTTGATCCATAAAGTTGATGGCTAACATAAATGTAATATCATTTAAAGGTAGATCAGCTTCTAATTTCTTCATTTCTTTTAATTACTTTCAACCTACCTATTTGTCTGGATTAAGCTGTCAAGTTACTCTGTTCACTGGGAAGGAAGAAGAGTGAAAAGAAGCCATACTTTGGGCCATACAGTATCCTTGGGTTTTAACTCTTTCTATGTTTTCAACACAGGGAGCATTTCCAGCTCGTTTGAAGAAGGTGCTGATTGTAGGAGCACCCATATGGTTCCGAGTGCCCTATTCTATCATCAGCCTGCTCTTGAAGGACAAAGTCCGGGAGAGGGTAAGGCAGCCTTTTCTTATTGGAGGTAGATAAATAGATTCTAGTATCTGCCAGTTAGGCATCTGCTTTCAAAGAATCTTCTAGCTTATCTCCCAGAATGTTTTTTCTCCTTAAAGATTTATTTATTGGGGCTGGAGAAATGGCTTAGAGGTTAAGAGCACTGACTGCTCTTCCAGAGGTCCTGAGTTCAATTCCCAGCAACCACATGGTGGCTCATAACCATCTGTAATGAGATCTGGTGCCCTCTTCTGGCCTGCAGACATACATGCAGGCAGAACACTGTATACATGATAAATTAATAAATCTTAAAAAATAAAAAGATTTATTTATTATGTATACAGTGTTCTGCCTGCATGCCAGAAGAGGGCGTCAGATCTCATTACAGATGGTTGCGAGCCACCATGTGGTTGCTGGGAATTGAACTCAGGACCTCTGGAAGAAGAGCTAGTGCTCTTAACTGCTGAGCCATCTCCAGCCCCTCCCAGAATGTTTTCTGCTTCTGTTATTGTATTCATTCACATTCTTCATTCAGTCATTAGCTTGGGACAGAACACCTCCTTCACTGTCCACAAATTTGTTTTGAGTTGGAAAACGGCAGTTTATCTGACTCTTTCTTCACACCACCTTGAATAAAACAGTATTGGAGGAGCTGGAGAGATGGCTTAGTGGTTAAGAGCACTGACTGCTCTTCCAAAGGTCATGAGTTCAGTTTCCAGCAACCACATGGTGGCTCACAAGCACCTGTAATGAGATCTGGCGCCCTCTTCTGGCCTGCAGGGACACATGCAGGCAGAATGCTGTATACATAATAAATCTTAAAAACAAACAAACAAAAAATATTAAAAAAAAAAACAGTATTGGACCAATGTGTCCCAGGAGTATTTTATTTCTATTTATTCATTTTTCAATAATTTATTTTATGTGCTTTGGTGTGAATGCAAGTATCAGAAACCCTGGAACTAGAGCTACAGACAGCTGTGAGCTGCTATGTGGATGCTGGGAATTGAACCCGGGTCCTCTGGAAGAACAGCCAGTGCTAGTGCTCCCAGCCCATGAGCCATCTCTCCATCCCCTGAGAAGTATTTTAAGGATTATATGATTTCCAAAGTTAACTTAGTGCTGCATAAGGCATTATAAATATTGAACAGAATTGAAAGGTTTCGAAGGTTGGGTGTGTAACTCAGTGTCAGAGTGCATTCTCAGCATGCCCAAGGGACTAGGTCTAGTCCCCAAAACCCCAAACCAAGACCAAGACCAAAAGTCAGCATTTAACATATTTATACTATCTGAACAGGTATTAGAATTGATCTGGGGCTGAGCATGTAGTTTAATGGTAGAGTACTTGCCTAGCTTTAAAAGGCCCCTGGAGTCTGTCTCTAGTATACAGAGAGAGAGAGAGAGGGGGGGGGGGGGGGAGGGAAGGAGAGAGGAGAGCAAGCCAAAGCCAAACCCTGGTTTATTTACTGGAAAGTACTATTAAGTTTCTGTGACTTTCAGAGTGATAGGGAGGTCTCTTCCTGGTTTTATTTGTTCCTTTTCTTTTGGTCTTTTTATTTATCCTTTGAGACAGTTTCATTCTGTAGCTGAGGCTGGCCTATAGCTGCTCACTGTGTAGTAGGCATCACATTCATGGCTGTCTTCCTGTCTCAACCTTCCAAGTACTGGGATTGTAGGAGTGTACCATCATGCATATCTCTGGGTATTGTGTTTTCTTTCATTGTTTTTTTTTGGGGGGGGGACTGGCATCTCTTGAGACAGGGTTTCTCTGTGTAGCTTTTGGAACCTGTTCTGGAACTCACTATGTAGACCAGGCTGTCTTCGAACTCACAGAGATCCGCCTGGCTCTGCTTCCCACGTGCTGGAATGAAAGACGTGAGTCACCACTGCCTGGCTAAGATCTATTTTTTTTCAATTTTACCTGTATGGGTATTTTGCCTACATGTATGTCTATGTACCATGTGTGTGCCTGGTGTCATCAGAAGCCAGAAGAGGGCATTAGATCCCCTGGAACTGTAGTTAAGCCATGTGGATGCTGTGAACTGAACTGGGTCTTAATTATTTAACATCTCTCCAGCTTTTGTGAGCTAGTTCTTTAAGCGGTAGAGGAGGAAAGGGGATAGCTTTTTAAGAAGAGGTTGAGGGTGGGGTGCTGGAGTGGTACCTCAGTGATTAAGAGCATGTACCTGAGTTGGGTTTCCAGCACCCAAGTTTGTTGGCTCCTCACTATAAGTGCAATTCTAGGGATTTAGGTGTCCTCTTCTGGCCGCGCATCATCTGCATGTGGTATATTGGTATATACTCACACAGACCGACAGACAGACAGACACACACACACACTTAAAAAAATAAGAAGAGGCACCAGCAAGGGGACAGTCTTTTAAGAATAGCATTCCTGCCAGGGGGTGGTGGCGCACGCCTATAATCCCAGCACTTGGGAGGCAGAGGCAGGTGGATCTCTGTGAGTTCGAGGCCAGCCTGATCTACAGAGCTGGTCCAGGACAGGCTCCAAAGCTGCAGAGAAACCCTGTCTCGAAAAATAAAAAAAAAAAGAATAGCATTCCTGCGCTACAAAGATTTTAAGGAGAACTATCTAGGCCATCTTGGCTTAGCATGGCTATATTTAAGTGCGTACCTGAATCAAATATGATTACTTATCTAGTGTTTTCTGAGATGACCATTTTGAGGTGTCTTTGTCTTTTGTGGAAATCTGTCTTTGAGGACATTCGTACAAAGCCGTGAGTAAAATATAAGCTAAGAGACTTAGAATAGGTTGAGTTAGTATACAACTGTCAGAAGTAGTCATTACCTATGTATTCTTAGCTTCTAGAAGGAAGAGTACCAGCAAGAGATGTTGCTGAAAAGCCTTGTTGATAGTAGGAAGCCTTTGTTCACTATCCCTTCGTTTCAGAAGAGAAGTAACTTGGACTCTCATTCCAGGAGTGAATTTGAGAGACAGTCTCAGGATTCAAACTTAGCTATCTGAGAAATTCATAGGATTTTAATCCAAAGGGAATAAAATTCACTCTGCTTCTTTTCAAATATAGAGTGGTTCAAGCAAATTTCCTCTGATTTTCAAATCTAATGTAAGCACATTTGTTTTTTGATCTTGTCTGTATGCTTTCTGACTTATAGCCCCAGTGCTCAGTGTAGCTCTTTGTGTCCTTACAGATTCAGATATTAAAGACATCTGAAGTTACCCAGCACCTGCCTAGGGAGTGCCTTCCAGAAAATCTGGGTGGGTACGTCAAAATTGACCTCGCCACTTGGAATTTCCAGTTCCTGCCCCAAGTGAACGGCCACCCAGATCCCTTCGATGAGATCATCCTGTTTTCCCTACCTCCTGCCTTAGACTGGGACTCAGTACATGTTCCAGGTCCCCATGCCATGACCATCCAAGAGTTGGTAGACTATGTTAATACCAGGCAAAAGCGGGGCATATATGAGGAGTATGAAGACATCCGCCGTGAGAACCCTGTTGGCACTTTCCACTGTTCCATGTAAGTAGGAGAGGTTTGGGTCAACAATCAGTTCCCAAGGTGCTTCTGGCAAGTGATGACTGCAGCTGTTTCGATACCTCAGTTCCTTTATAGAGGGTTTCCCTGGGGTCAAGAGGCTTCACGTGAAGGCGAAACATGGTAGTGCATGCCTTTAATCCCAGTGTTTGGAAGACAGATGAAAGTGAATCTATGAGGTGGAAGCCAGCCTGGTCTACATAGTGAGCTGCAGCCAGCCAGGACAGCACTTGAATGAACGAATGAATGAATGAATGAATGAATGAATGAATAGTAAGTAAATAAATAAAATGTTTCATGGGGAGATGGTTAAGTGGGAAAGAGCACTTACTCTGCAACATGAGGATTTTGGTTCAAACCTCCAGCCCCCATATAAAAAGGTAGGCATGGCTGCACTTGCATATAATGTCACCATTGTTGGGCCAGATACAAGTGGGTCTGGAGTGCTCACTGATCCAGGCAATAGGTTAAGAACAACAGATGAAGATGAAGACAGCTGATGTCTTGCCTTGCCCTTTGCATGCACATGCACAGGCACAGGCACGTGCACGTCTACACTCAAGGGCACACAATACATACATACTAATATACACAAAAAGCTTCACAGGCACTTAATAGTTTTGTCTGGACTTGTTCTCTCCTGCTTTGGACTTGTTGATGTCTTATGCCTTGAAACTTCTGGTGGTCTTTGGTACCAATAGGAAAACCTTGTAATGATCTTTATATATTTCTTCCTTTTTCTATTCATTCATTCATTTGCTTTTTATTCATTCATTCATTCATTTGCTATTTATTTATTTGTTTGTTTGCTTGCTTACTTATTATTTGAAACAGTGTGGCCCGGGCTGGTCCGAAACTCACTTTATAGACCAGACTGGCCTTGAACTTACAGAGGTCCTCCTGTCTCTGCCTCCGGAGTGCTGGTCTTGTTATGGGCATGTACCACTGTGGCAAGCTTGGATATTTTCTTGAAATGCAAATGTTGTTTAAGAAAGGCCTACAATGTAATAAAATGCTAGATCTTGGAAGGAAAAGGTACTGTGTATTCACAAGAATCCTATGACAAGAAGAGAGAAGAGTTGCTTCTTAGGAATTTAACCTCTTAGGGCTTTTCTTCTTCCCAAATTCTCCCATAAAATCATCTTGCTAGTTTATCACTCTGATTTGTAATGGTTTGATGACTACAGCTGCAGCCTAGGGCATTTCTCTCCCTTTTGTTTTGGGGTGTGTTTGTGTATATGTGTATCTATGTATCTGTGGAGGTGTTCTCCTCAATTGTTGTCCACCTTATTATTGTTATTATTTTTTAAATAATCAGGTTTTTTGTTTTATTTTGAGACAAGATCCTAATATGTAGCCTTGGCTGGCCTGAAACTCACCAAAACAGGTGGCCAGTGATCCCTTTAACCTCTGCCTCTAGTGCTGGGATTAAAGGTGTGCACCTACACACTTATATAGTTTAGCATGTTTTAAATTTTTTTTTTTTTTTTTTTGGTTTTTTCGAGACAGGGTTTCCCTGTGTAGCTTTGCGCCTTTCCTGGAACTCACTTGGTAGCCCAGGCTGGCCTCGAACTCACAGAGATCCACCTGGCTCTGCCTCCCGAGTGCTGGGATTAAAGGCGTGCGCCACCACCGCCCAGCTAAATTTTTTTTTAATTACTGTATTTTATGTGTCTTGAGTGTTTTGCCTGCACGTGTGTCTGTGCACGCATGCATGAAGTGCTCACAGAGGCAAGTAGAGGGCATGGGATCCTCTGGGACTGGAGTTAGAGAAGAATGTGAGCCACCATGTAAGTGCTGTTATAACTGGGTTCTCTGGAAAAGCAACTAGTACTCCTGACTGCTCAACCATCTGTCCAGCCCTCTTACAGTGTTTTCATTGGCTGCTTTCCTCCTACTGGTGAGCTCTGCAGGGTGAACTCCATCTCTAGCGGGATTGACTCTCTGTAGCTTAGCAAAGGGCTCTTTTATTGTTACACAATTTACACCTTTAGCAAGTCATTTCTATACCAAAACCTCTTATCTAAGCCTCCAAAAGGAATAATGTCAAATGCAAATTCTCAGTAAAGGAATACCACCATGTTCTGGGTCATTCCTAACACAAGTTTGCATAGGTTTTGAACCCCTAGGGAGCTCAGATAAGACTGGAGACCGGAGGTACTGGAGACAGGAGGTAGCAGTCACAAAAGGCAGATGAAAGCTATGTGCTAACACTCCTGGATCTGCAGGAATTCTCCCAACATCTTCCTGTTCCATAGGGTCTCATCCTGCCCAGGCTGCCCTAAGACTTGTCCTGTAGCTGAAGATGGCCCTGAATTTCTAATATTACTGCCTCTACTTCCTGTCCTGCCCAGGCTGCCCTAAGACTTGTCCTGTAGCTGAAGATGGCCCTGAATTTCTAATATTACTGCCTCTACTTCCTGTCCTGCCCAGGCTGCCCTAAGACTTGTCCTGTAGCTGAAGATGGCCCTGAATTTCTAATATTACTGCCTCTACTTCCTGTATGCTGGGGTACAGGTGTGCACCACTGTCTTCAGTCTCCTCAGTAGGAATCAAGGAAACAGCTTGGGAGCAGGGAAGAGTGATAACCTTTTTGAGGAATTTAAGATTTTTATGTAGGTCCCCACCGCAGTTATTTACTGCCTCAAGTAATTGCCTTGAACGAGTAGGTTTTGTCGACTTGTACCATTCCAACCAGCTGCTGTTTTAGAATCGAGTTTGATGAGAGAACTTCACAGGCTTGCCTGTTTACTGAACTTTGGAGCCCAGTTTGATGATCTGGAACTCATAAACCTCATTAGCGCCTGACCTTCCCTTCTCAACCAGGGTCTAGTAAAACTACCTACACAGAGCAAACGTATTTTTCTTGGAATTCTGGAGTGTGAAGTAAATATCAGAGTGTTCACAACTGCTCAAAATTTCCATAGCATTTTTTAATTAAAAATACTTTCAATTTAAAAAAATTTTAATTAAAATATTTAATTTGGGGCTGGAGAGATGATGGCTCAGTGGTTAAGAGCACTGACTGCTCTTCCAGAGGACCTGGGTTCAATTCCCAGCACCCACATGGCAGCTTACAACTGTCTGTAACTTCAGTTCTAGGGGTCCTGACACCTTCACACAGACATACATGCAAACAAAACACTAATGCATGTGAAATAAAAATAAATTTTAAAAAAAAGTGGGAAAGTCAATTTGCTGGGCATTGGTGGCACACGCCTTTAATCCCAGCACTTGGGAGGCAGAGCCAGGTGGATCTCTGTGAGTTCAAGGCCAGCCTGGTCTACAGAGAGAGAGCCAGGACAGACATCAAAACTACACAGAGAAACCCTGTCTCGAAAAACAAAAAACAAAAAAATTTTTTAAATTAATTTTTTTTTTTAAGACTGTGTATGGTTGGCTGACTGAGAATATCCTCTATAGGCTTGTGTTTGAAGACTTAGTGCCCAGTTTGTGGACCTGTTTGGGAAGGATTAGGAGATGTGGCCTTGTTTGTGGAGGTTTATCACTGGGGATGGGCTTTGAGGTTTCTTTCTTTCTTTCTTTCTTTCTTTCTTTCTTTCTTTCTTTCTTTCTTTTTTTTTTTAAGATTTATTATGTATATAGTATTCTGCCTACATGTATGTCTGCCTACCAGAAGAGGTCACCAGATCTTATTATAGACAGTCATGAGCCACCATGTGGTTGCTGGGAATTGAACTTAGGACCTGTGGAAGAACAGCCAGTGCCCTTAACCTCTGAGCCATCTCTCCAGCCCGGGCTTTGAGATTTCAAAAGACTTTCTGCCATTGCCAGTGTGTCTCTTTGCCTCCTGCTTACCATTTGAGATGTGAGCCCTCAGCCCTTTCTAACATTTCTACCATTGTTCCACCATCGTGGACTCTAACCCTCTAAAAACATAAGCCCAATTAATTAAACTCTTTAATTTGTAAGATGTCTTGGTCATAGTGTTTTATCACAGCAATAGACAGGACACTAAAACAGACGGGGTCTCTTTACATAGCCCTGGCTCTCTTGGAATTCACTATGTAAAACAGGCTGGCCTTGAATTTATAAAGATCTACCTGCCTCTGCCTCCTGAGTGCTGGGATTAAAGGTATGCCCCATCATGCCCAGCTTCTGATTGAATTTTGGAAGAGGAAAAATAATGTGTTAGTAACTAAGAAGAGGCAGTTCTCTGCTTTCGTGTGTGTGCGTGTGTGTATTCTCTTGAGATATTTATGTGTGTGTTTGGTTTTATTTATATATATGTATATTTTGTGTGTATATACATATTATAATATATATTTAATATAATATATAAATATTAAAGTCCAGGTTTGAAAAAATGAATTGCCAATTAAAAGAACTTGCTGCTCTTCAAGAGGATCAGAGTTTAGTTCACAGAACCCACACTGGTCAGCTCACACACAACTACTCATCACTCTAGCTCCAGGGGATCTAGTATTCCTTTCTGGTATGTGCAAGTACCCATATACGCATGGCATATAATCACACAGACATATACACATAAAATCTTTGGGGGCAATAGAGAATGCCTCAGCAGTTAAAAGGACTTTCTGTTCCTGTAGAGGACCCTAGTTCAGTATCCAGCACCCACATGGTGGCTCCAAATTGTGTGTAATTCTAGTTCCAGGGGATTGAATGCTCTTTTCTGTCCTTGCTGGGCATCAAACATACATGTGATATATACACATGTATGCAAACACTCATGAACATAGTTTAAAATAATTTTTTTTTGTCAAGGTGGTGGTGGTGCATGTCATTTATCTCAGCACTCGGGAGGCAGAGGCAGATTGATCTCTATGAGTTAAGAGCTAGCCTGCTCACCAAAAAAACCAAACCAAACCAAAGAACCTTTAAATTTTAATTAAGATTTTTATTATGAGACAATTGTATAGTTACATATATTTATAGGAAATGATGCAGATTATATGTAGACTTACCAATTTGCCTATAGTCATATCTTCCAAAACTGATATAATGTAACAGCCAGGATGTTGACATTGATAGGTACTAACCTTATTCATATTTTACCACTTTTACTTTGTGTGTGTGTGTGTGTGTGTGTGTGTGTGTGTGTGTGTGTGTGTGTTGTTTGTATTCAGTTTTGTCATGTATTGTAGGTCTGTGTGTCTGTCACCATATACAAAATACAGTCAGCCTTATCAGCACTTATCTCCTTCTTACTGTTCTTTAATTTTTTTTTCAGATTTTATTTATTTTTACTCTATGTATATGGGTATTTTTGCCTTTGTGTGTGTCTGTGCACCATGTGTGTGCAGTGCCCTTGGAGGCCAGAACAGGGCGATGGACCCCAGAACTGGAGTTACCGACAGTGCTGACAGTCAAGTGGGCGCCAGGGATGTCGGCCCATGTCCTCTGGAAGAGCAGCCAGTGTTCTTGAGTCCTGAGTCATCTCCCCAGCTCCCTTTAAATAGTATATATGGGCCGGGCAGTGATGGTGCACGCCTTTAATCCCAGCACTCGGGAGGCAGAGCCAGGCGGATCTTTGTGAGTTCGAGGCCAGCCTGGGCTACCAAGTGAGTTCCAGGAAAAGGCGCAAAGCTACACAGAGAAACCCTGTCTCGAAAAACCAAAAAAAAACAAAAAAAACAAAACAAACAAACAAAAAAACAAAAAACCAAACAAATAAATAGTATATATGGGCTTTTGTTTTTGTTTTTTTTAAAGATGGATTTATTTAATGTACATTGTTGTTTTTTTTTTTTTGCCTACATGTATATCTACATGAAGGTTTCAGATCCCCTGGAACTGGAGTTACAGACAGTTGTGAACTGTCGTGTGGGTGCTGGGAATTGAACCCAGGTCCTTTGGAAGAACAGTCAGTGCTCTTAATTGCTGAGCCATCTCTCCAGCCCCTAGTATACCTGGCTTTCAACACCTCCCCATTTCTCTCTCTCCCTCTCCTCCAATATTTTGAGCTAGGATATCACTAGTCCTGGCTGTCTTGGAACTCTGTAGACCAGGCTGGCCTCAAACTCACAGAGATCTGTCTGCCTCTGCCCATAACGCAATCATTGGGGCCCAAATCTAAGAACATTTTACCTTATATTCTGAAGATTCTGGATTCTCTCTTCCTCAAAGTTTTGTGGTTTCAATTTTAGTCTGTGGTCTAGTTTGAATTACGTTTTGTATAAATTGTAAGAGTTAGATAAGTATTCATTTTATTTATTTTGTCATTGGATGCTGTCTTAGGGTTTCTATTCCTGTGAAGAGACACCATGACCATATGACCACAGCCCCCACATTTTTTTTTTTTGTTTTTTTTGTTTGTTTTTTGAGACAGGGTTTCTCTGTTTAGTTTTGGTGCCTGTCCTGGATCTCACTCTGTAGTCCTGGCTGGCCTTGAACTCACAGAGATCTACCTGGCTCTGCCTCCCAAGTGCTGGGATTAAAGGTGTGCACCACCACTGCCTGGCCCATGGCCAACTTTTATAAAGGAAAACATTGAATTGAGGTGGCGACTTATGGTTCAGATAGTCAGTCTGTTTTCATCATGTCGGGGAGCATGACAAGGAGCAGGCAGACGTGGTGCTTACTATATCTTTATCAGAAGGCAATAGGAAATGGTCTCAATGTCACAACTGAGGGAAAGCTTGAGCTAAAGAGATTTCAAGCCCACCCCCACAGTGACATACTTCCTCCAACAAGGCTACTCCTATTTCACCAAGGCCACATCTCCTGATAGTGCCACTCTTTTGGGGGGCCATTTTCTTTAAAACCACTACAGATGCATCGTTAACTACTACATTAATTTGTTGAATAGGGGAATTATCACATCGAATTTTTTTTTTTTTTTTTTTTTTTTGGTTTTTCGAGACAGGGTTTCTCTGTGTAGCTTTGCGCCTTTCCTGGAACTCGCTTTGGAGACCAGGCTGGCCTCGAACTCACAGAGATCTGCCTGGCTCTGCCTCCCGAGTGCTGGGATTAAAGGCGTGCGCCACCACCGCCCAGCTAAAGGATTTTTTTTTTTTTTTTTTTTGGCGAATTATTTTTTTGTAAATAAAAAAGTCAATTATACTTATTTACATGGGATGAGGGGAGGTCTTGCTTTGCTTGTTTTTGGGTTTTATTTTTATTTATGAGTATATGTATGTGTCTGTGGTGGATGTTATGTGTACATACCTGCAGAAATCCGAGGAATCTTAGAGTCATAGGTGGTCCTAAGCGTTCTTAACTCCAAGCTTTCTTTCTGGTCCCAAGGGGGTGTTTTTAAGATGCAGGAAAGAACCAGGTATAGTGGCTTAACATGTAATCCCAATACTTGGGAGTCTGCAGGAGAGTTGCCAAGAGTTTGGGGCTAACCCTGGCTGTGCCGTTAGAGCCTATCTTAAAGCAAAACAAAACAAAAACTAAACACCAATAAAGGGGCCAATGAAATGGCTCTGTGGATAAACCCACTTGCTGCTAAGCCTAAGGACCTGAGTTTGATCCTTGGAACTCACTTCGTGGAAGGAGAGAACTAACTTCTGCAATTTCTGCCTCTCTCACTTCTATACGTACCCCCTCACACACACCAAGTAAATATAAATTTAAATAAAAAAGATGAAGAAAAATATATGTGAAGAAGTACAAAGTATAAAAACCTCCAGTTCCTTTGATCAAAACTGACCCTTGCTACTGTTCTGTCATATTTGTCTTCATTACATGAAAGAATTCATTAGGAAGCTGAAATCACTTCCCGTGGTCACCCTCAATTCTTTCCTTCTTACAAGCAGCTACACCTTGTATAAATGTGGTGTATTTCTAGCCATTTCGATTACACCATTATGTATACATATGTGCCCAACAGTATAGAATACTTTACTCTTTTGAGTCAGGCTCTTGCGTAATTCTGGCTGGTCTCAAACTATGTGTAGTAAGTTTGACATTGAACTTCTGATCCTCCTGGCTCTACCACCTGAGTGCTGGGCTGCACCCGGCTTACTCAGGGACTGAGGATCCGCACCAATGTTTTGTACCTGGTAAGCAAGTGCTATTCCAACTGAGCTACATTCCCAGACCTCCAGCAATATAGGATGTTATTATATATGGATGGTCTTGGTAAGTTTTTAATCAATAATATATCTAAATAATTTTTCAGAGCCAAATAGTACAAAGCAGAAGGCAGTGAGGGTGGATGATACGCAAGCACTCCTTTACTGAGCGATACAGCCCTGTCTTTTTCTTTTATTTTTAGAGAAGGAGTCTTGTGTAGTCTTGATTGTCTTAAAGTTCTCCATGTAGCTAAGAATGACCTGGAACTCCTGATCCTCACACTTCACCTTATTTTGACTTGCTCTTGTTCTTCAGGTCTCCAGGAAACCTAGAGAAGAACCGCTATGGAGATGTCCCCTGCCTGGACCAAACGCGAGTGAAGCTGACAAAGCGCAGTGGCCACACTCAGGTAAGGAGATAGATGCCGTGCGTGTCTTCTCCGCACCCAGGAAATTCAGCTCTTCCAAGGTGAAACTTAGTACTGGCTGCAGGTGGCTGAAATGGAGATGAGTTTGGGTTCTGACTTTGTTATGCATTAATTGTGGCTAGAGATAGTTCTTAAATGTCCATATTACCATATTGAAGAGAATAAATGAATTTTTTTTTGTGAATGTTGATAGTATGGTATTCCTTTCTTTCTTTCTTTTTTATTTTATTTTAAGGCAGGATCTTATTATATAGTCCTGCCTGTCCTAGAACTCATTATATAGACCACGTTGTCTTTTAACTCACAAAGATTGGCCTGTCCCTGCCTCCTGTGTGCTGGCATTAAAGTTTTATGCCATCAGCCGAGGGTGGTGGCACATACCTTTAATAGCAGCACTTGGGAGACAGAGGCAGGCAGATAGAGATCTGTGAGTTCTAGAACAGCCAAGGCTATGTAGAGAGATCCTGTCTTAAAAGAAAAAAAAAAAAAAGGAGGTTTACGGCCGGGCGGTGGTGGCGCACGCCTTTAATCCCAGCACTCGGGAGGCAGAGCCAGGCGGATCTCTGCGAGTTCGAGGCCAGCCTGGGCTACCAAGTGAGTTCCAGGAAAGGCGCAAAGCTACACAGAGAAACCCTGTCTCAAAAAACCTAAAAAAAAAAAAAAAAAAAAAAAAAAGGAGGTTTACACCTTCATGCCATGCTGTTATTTATAGTTTGTGTATGTGTGCACGTGTGCATGGGTGACAGTGCCATGAGGAGGTCAGAGGACAGCTTTTGGGAGTGGGTTCTCTGGGTCGAATTCCTCCTCAGGCTTTGTGACAAGCGTAGTTACCTGATGTGCTATCTTGACAGCCCAAGTATAGTTTTTTGGTTTTGTTTCTTTGAGTCAGGGTCTTACTGTGTAGCTTTCGCTGCCTGGAACTGCTATGTAGACCAGGCTGGTCTTGAATGTGCAGAGGTCTGTCTGTCTGTCTGTCTGTCTCTGCCTCTGCCTCTGCCTCTGCCTCTTCAGAGTGCTGGGATTAAAGGCATGTGCCACCACGTGTGGCTAAGTCTTTTTTTTTTTTTAAATACTTATTTAGTTATGTATGCGAATGCACATGAAGGTCAAGGGATAACTTTCAGGAGTTAGTTCTCTCCCACCAGGTGGGCTCTGGGGTCAACCTCAGGTGATCGTATTTGCTGTCAAGGGTCTTTAGCTGCTGAGCCATCTTGCTAACCTTTTTTTTCTCTATCTGATCACCATCTTTTTTCTGTTAACCTCTGTAATTATAAATATGTAACATTGGTATACTTGGAAGGTTGAGGCAGGAGAATGGCAAGGTCTATTCTAGCTTGAACTAAAGAGTTTGTAGCCAACTTGGGCTTCATAGCAAGATCCTCTCAAATAAAGTGAGTGAAATCACCCAAACCCTGGGCTGGTTAGATGGCTCAGCGTGTCAAAGCATTTGTTCCCAAACCTCCCTTCGATGCCCAGCACCAGGTGGAAGGAGAAAATGACTTCTCTCCAGGTTGTGGTTTAACCTTCATATGTGTGCTGTGACACACAAGCTCGTGCATGTGTGTGCAGCACATGCACACACAAACAATAAATAAATGTGAGGGAAAAAACTTAAGCAAATAACTCCCCCTACCCTCACAAATTACCAATGATTACAGTTTCTCTTTCAAAGTATTGGAACTTAAGAACATCTATTTAACATGGCTCACATTATACAGGCTTGATATTTTAGCCCTTAGTGTGCTTGAGGATAATTTTGAGAGTAATTGTGGATCTGGGTCCAGACTTTCTTTTTTTTTTTTTTTTGGTTTTTCGAGACAGGGTTTCTCTGGGTAGCTTTGCGCCTTTCCTGGAACTCGCTTTGGAGACCGGGCTGGCCTCGAACTCACAGAGATCCGCCTGGCTCTGCCTCCCGAGTGCTGGGATTAAAGGCGTGCGCCACCACCGCCGGGCGAGTCCAGACTTTCTTGACCCTTCTCCTTTAGGCATTCATAGTCCTGCCCAGGATTCTTGCATAGTTTTTTGGGGGTTGTTTTTTTCCCCTCTCATCTTCCCTGACAGGTAGCTAAGCTGCTTGATCATCGTACTGCTGAAATTGTCCTCATACATTGTCTTCAGGAATGGAGTTGAATGATTGAGTCTCTTGAGTCCAAAATACTTGTTTTTATCTGTTGGTTGACTGCTCTGTCACCAGTATATAGAACAGTACCTCACACGTTTTAAGAAATATTTGTGAGTGAATCCCAATGTACCAGATTATTCTAGTCAAGATAAATCTGAGGACCAGTGCCCGGTGTATATGTATGTGTGTGTGTGGGGGGGGGGGTATGCACATGCGGGTATTGGGGATATATTTTTGAGTGGGTATATTCACAAATATAAGTAAATCCCAGTGTAACAGGAGATGATTCTAATTATCCTGTAGTTAATCTGAAGATCATCACCTGACATCACCACTTGACTTTGCTACAAACAATGCCACCAGCTGTTTTCACAGTAAATAGAAACTTATGACCCTGCCCTTGAGTTTTCTTTTTTGAAGTAAGATATTGCTATATAGCCAGGCTGGCCTCCTGTCTTAATCTCTAGAATACTGGTTCAGAGATATCTACCACAATACCAGCTTTGATTATTTACTTATTTGTTTATTGACAGGGCTTTTGTAGGCCAGACTGTCCTCAACATTATGATGTAGTCCAAGATGACCTTGAAATCTGATCTTCCTGCCTCTAGCTCCCAAGGGCTAGGATTACATGTGTACACTAGCATATGCTCTTTTTTGTTTGTTTGTTGTATGATGCTGAGGACTGAACCTAGGGCTTCATGCTTGCTAGGAAGTACTCTAACCCCAAGTCATAGCCGCAGCCTAGACTTATGTCTTCCTTTTTTTTTAGTTTTAGGGGTATATTAGTTTGTTCCTCTGTTGCTGTGATAAACACTGACTTAAAGGAACTTGAGAAAGAATTTATTTGGCGTATGCTTCCATCATCAGGGGAAGCCAAGGCAAGGACCTGGAGGCAGGACCTGAAGCAGAGACCATGGAGGAGTGTGCCTTACTGGCTTGGCCCTCATGGCTTGCTCAGCCTGCTTTCTTATGAGAGTTATTTTAATGTCTTTCGTTGGGTCTTTGTTCTATTTTGAGGTGTTTTGGTTTTTACTATAAGTTTTTATTTATTTATTTATTTATTTATTTTTATTTATTTATTCATTCATTCATTCATTTATCATTCATTCATTCATTCATTCAATTTATTGGTTTTTCGAGACAGGGTTTCTCTGTGTAGCTTTGCCCCTTTCCTGGAACTCACTTTGTAGACCAGACTGGCCTCAAACTCACAGAGATCCTCTTGCCTCTGCCTCCCGAGTGCTGGGATTAAAGGCATGTGCCACCACCGCCCAGCAAGTTTTCATTTTAAAGACAGGATCTCACTGTGTAGCTCTGTTGGCTTAGAACTTACCTGTAGTCAGAAGATTTTCCTGTGTCCCGCCTGGTCCCACAGCTGCTCAGACCCAAGTAATCACACAGAGACTTATGTTAATTATAACTGCTCGGCCATTAGCTCAGGCTTATTATTGACTAGCTCTTACATTTAATTTAATCCATAATTCTTATCTGTGTTTAGCCATGTGGGTTGGTACCTTTTTTATTTCTGCCTTGTCATCTTGCTTCCTATGTGTCTGGCTGGCAACTCCTGACTCTACCCTTTCTCTTCCCAGAATTCTCCTCATCTGCTTGCCCCACCTATACTTCCTGCCTGGCTACTGTCCAATCAGTATTTTATTAAACCAGTGTACAAAAGCATTATCCCGCCGGTGGTGGTGGTGGTGGTGCACACCTTTAATCCTAGCACTCTGGAGGCAGAAGCAGGTGAATCTCTGTGAGTTTGAGGCTAGCCTGCTCTACAGAGCTACATCCAGGAAAGGCACCAAAACAACACAGAGAAACACTGTCTCGAAAAAGCAAAAAAACAAAACAAAAAACCATTATCCCATAGCACTCACCATTGTAGACAAGGGGTAGCCTTTCACCTTGAAGTGATGCTCCAGCCTCTGCCTCTTGAGTGCTGGTATTACAGGCACAGCACTATGTAGGACTTACTTTTTGTCTATGATTTGATGAAAGGGCTGCTATGATAATCGGTGTGTCTGCTATCTATCTATCTATCTATCTATCTATCTATCTATCTATCTATCTGGTTGTTCTAATTCATTTGCTGGAGTGAAACAGTAGCCCACAGAAACACTCTTCTACTCACCTATACCCTGACTCCTCTTTACTCCATTTCATTACCAATAAAGGTAATTCACGATTTTTCCCTCCAATGCTAAATTGGCCCTGTTACTTTTCACTTACTGCTTGACAGGAAGAGACTCTCCACATCTTGAATTGAACTTACCCAGCACTTACGTTATTTTGTGATCCAAATGGTGTGTTCATGCACTTGCAATAATGTCTCTCTTTTATTATTAGACAGATTACATCAATGCCAGTTTCATGGATGGCTACAAGCAGAAGAATGCTTATATTGGTACACAAGGTAAGCTGTTTTAACATTACATGTTGATTTTGTGCCTCCTGCATATGGTTCCTCATTTTAGGTGATTTTTTTTTTAAATTTTATTTAATTATATGTGTGTGAGTGTTTGGTCTACATGTAAGTCTGTGGACCATGTGTATGCCTGGTGTACACAGAGACCAGAAGAGGGTGTCAGATCTCCTAGACCTGGATCTGGAATTACAGATTGTTGTAAGCTGCCATATGTGTGCTGGGAATCAAACCTGGGTCCTTGGGGAAGGCAGCAGGTGTTCTTCACCACTGAGCTCTCTTTCCAGCCCCCATGTCCAGCTTTTATATAAGATGCTAAAATCCAAAATCTAGTCCTCAGGATTGAGCAGCAAACATTCTTAGCTGTTGAGCCATTCTTTCCAGCCTCCAGATGATTTCTTTTCTTTTCTTTTTCTTTTTTTCTGGGGTGTTTTTTTTTTTTTTTTTTTTTTTTGGTGTTTCACTTGCTCTGTAGATGAGGCTGGCCTTGAACTCAGAGATCTACCTGCTTCTACCTGCTGGGATTAAAGGTGTGTGTTACCACACCCAACTCAGATGGCATCATTTTTAAAGGAAATATGTTGTGACCACTAATATACTGGTCTTTCATAAAGTTTGGTAGTTAAAGAGAACAGATAAGTTTGGAGTTTCAGTTCCAGACATGCATGGAAACTCACAACAAAGAGAAATACTAGAGATTTAAACCTATAATGTTATTGCTTGCCAGCAAGCTTTAGGATTGTGTTTTTTTTTTTTTTTTTGGTTTTTTTTTTCGAGACAGGGTTTCTCTGTGTAGCTTTGCGCCTTTCCTGGATCTCGCTTTGGAGACCAGGCTGGCCTCGAACTCACAGAGATCCGCCTGGCTCTGCCTCCCGAGTGCTGGGATTAAAGGCGTGCGCCACCACCGCCCGGCTAGGATTGTGTTTTAGTGTAGGGCATCAGAACTCAGTAGTTTGCACTCACATACACACATCATGCGCACACACAATAAAAATCTGATCCAGGCTGTTGATGTAATTTAGTGATATAGCACATGCCTAGACGGTTTGAATTTCATCTCTACCATCTCAAGAAAATAGTAATAATAATCTAAAGAAATGTGAATCTAGTTATAAGTAACAAATCAGTCAAATCCAGATTGTTTAACACAGTACAAGAAAACATGCTCAGTGTAGGTAGGCATGTTGGTATGTACATGCTTGTAATACCGTGACTCAGAGAGTCCCAAGTTCAAAGCCTGCCTGTTCTGTATAGTTAATTGGAGGCAAGCCTGGATTATACAGAGAGACCCTATTTTGAAAAGAAAAAAAAGCAAGTTGTTCAAATTCTTTAAAGTTAATGTCATGAAAAATGAACTGTTCTAGATTGCTAAAGAAAGAAAGAAAGAAAGAAAGAAAGGAAGAAAGAAAGAATATGTGGCTTATGATGTGTCCTCTATAGGGAGAAAGTGGCATTAAGGACAAATTACTGGGACAGTTGTAGACTTCCTATCAGTTAAGGTTATATCTGTGTTCCATTGGGTGGTACTGTAATGATATATAAAGGGAATGAACAAATAAATAGATATGCATGTGCATATATAGGTACACTCACACACACACACATACACACACACACACACACATACATACATACACACATACACACACACACACACACACACACACACACACATGTGCGTGTGTGGTGGGAGCAAGGTCTCATCTACCTTAAGCTCTTTCATACTTGCTGTGTAGCTAAGGATGACTGAACTCCTTATCCTTCTGCCTCTACCTTCCAGTTTCTGGGATAATATGCATGAACTACCATACATGACTCCAATGGTCTGGTTCTTATATACACATATATGCATACTAGTAATAGTTTTAATAGGTCATCTGTTAAGAATATGTATTATATCTTAGTTATATAATCTCTGGTTATTAAAGTAAATGTGTGAAATTTTTTTTAAATTTTAGTGTGTGTGTGTGTGTGTGTGTGTGTGTGTGTGTGTGTGTGTGTGTGTGTTTAGTTAAGCAAACTGAGGCCCACTTGGTGCCCCGGTCAGCGGGGTCTTCAACGGGGACCTAAAGGGAGGGCTGGCGAATGAGAGGGACAAGAGACACAAAGAATGAGAGCAAGACAGGACGTCTGATCAAGCTCCAAAATTTTATTTTTCTCTCAAGGCATATATAGGTAGGCAAAGGGGGTTGAGAGCAGGAAGGGACTTAATTATGGGGGTTGCAAGCAGAAAGGGACTTAGTAATGGGGGTTGCAAGCAGGAAGGGACTTAATTATGGGCTGTTCGGCCAGAAGGAAATGTTGCTCTGAGGGTTATCTATCTACCCTTGTCTAACTGCCTAATTGCTTAACTGCAGCTCATTCACCTGATATCTGAGAAGAGTTTCTGGTATCTGTGAGAAGAGGTTCTGGTGCTATGGAGACTTAAGCAAGGCCTAGATCTAAGAAAAGAGGAGAGAAGCCTAAATATGACAGCATATGTGTCAAGGGTCGCTTAGGCTTATGGCTCCCGTCAAATTGGTTAGCTGACCTTGAAAATAAAGGTAGTAGAAGAACCAGAATTTGAATCAATGTGTAGCTCAGTAGTTCTTACAAGCCATCTCAGTGGAGTGGTTCTTCTCTGTCAAAGTAAACCACTAACTTTGCATCTACAGACGTCCACTTGTGTATGTGTGGTATATGGACACTTGTGAGTATGTTTATTTTTGTGTGGAAGCAGATCTAGAGGAGGATGTCAGGTGACCTCTATCTTCCTCCACCTTGTTCCTTTGAGACAGGGTCTCTTAACTGAACTTGGACTAGGCTGGTGGACCTTAAGCTCTAGAGAGCCTTCCTTTCCCTCCCAGTGCTGGAGTTACAAGCATGTACATCCATGCCTGTCTTTTTTATGTGAGTTCCTGGGATTGGATTTGAAGTCTTCATGCTTGTGTGGCAAGAACTTTTACCCAATGAGCCATTTCCCCGGCCCCTTTCTTTGTCTTTTGCAGTCAGGGTTTACTGTGAAGCCCTTGTGGGTTTGGAACTTGCTGATTGTGGTGTTCCACATCTGTGACTCTAGCAGAGGCATGGGCTGCAGAGATGGTGGGTACTAGGAATCAGCTCAGACCCTCACACAGGAAGCACATTACCAACTAAGCAGTTGCTAACTCCTTGGCAATTGTTGTTTGTTTTGAGATAGTGCTCAGGCTGCTCTATAACTCACAGTGATTCTCCTGCCCCAATCACCCAAGTCCTAATTACAATCTCCTCCTGGAAATTATAGGCATGAGCCACCATACCCAGCTTCACTAACATCTTTTTTTTTTTTTTTTTTTTAATTTTAATTTTGTGGTTGTAAAAGGGGTCTTATGTAACCTAGGCTGGCCTGGAACTCCCTATATAGTTGAGAATGACTTTGAATTCCTAATGTTGCTGCCTCCTCCTTCCAAGTACTGGGATTACGGGCAGGTCCAGCTTGGACTAACATTTTATATAATATTAGAATTTTTTCTTTGCAGGGCTGGTGAGATGGTTTAGTAGTTAAGAGCACTGGCTGCTCTTCCAGAGGTCCCAAGTTCAATTCCCAGCAACCACATGGTGGCTCACTACCATCTAAAATAGGATCTGGTGCCCTCTTCTGGCATACATGTGTACATGCAGACAGAGCCCTCGTACGTAAAAAAATAAATTAATTAAAAAAAAAAGACAAAACAAAAAAGCCTATATTCATTAAATTACGGCATACTTAAAATTCACATACCCAATAAATACAGTTATAAAAGTTGTACAGTTTTATGCCATATGGTGGTGGCACACACCTTTAATCCTAGCACTCAGGAGGCAGAGGCAGGTGAATCTCTGTGTTTAAGGCTAGCCTGGTCTTCAGAGTGAGTTTCAGTATAGCCAGAGCTGTTACACAGAGAAACCCTATCTCGGAGGAGGGGGTTTATTTTAGATTTTATTTTACGTGTATGGTTGGTTGTATGCTTAATAGGTATTTCTGTATGACATTTGCATGTCTGGTGCCAGTGGAAGGCAGATGAGGTATTGGACCCCTGAAATGGTAGTTAGAGATGATTGTGAACCGCCATGGTCATGCTGGGACTGAAACTCAGGTCCTGTGGAAGATCAGCCAGCACTCCTAACTACTGAACTCTCTCTCCAGTCTCCAGAGTTGATTTACTATCCCAGGGGCAGGGTTGCGGTGGGGTGAGGAAGGCTTATTTTGTTAACTGTTTTATTTGCCTGTATCTATAAGTTTTCATAGAAAGAGTCTTGGAGATGCTGCAAAATGTTAACATTATCACTTATCTAGGAGTTAATTAATGAGTTTTATCTTCATTTTCTAAATATATCACAACAGATATGCATTACTATAATATGGACATGAAGAAGGCAATAAAAACACATTTCTGCAGCTCTAAACTCCAGTCTTATCCAAATGCTGCTAGTACCTCTCACATATATTAGATCCCCACCCCACCCCACCCCCAGTTCTGGAGATCAAACCCCGGGCCTTACATAGGACAAGCAAGTGTTCTACCACTGACCCACATGCACTCTCATATACTTTATTTTTTATATTCAGACCATTAGCAATGCCTAAGTAAGGATGATACTAGCTGGAGATAGAGGCAGTAGAATCATAAGTTCATGACTGGCCTGTGCCACATAGTGAGACTTTGTCACAAAAGACCTCCTAAACCCAAAACTATTGTTAGAAATGGGACAGCTTAGCAGTCAGAATATCTGATAAACCAGATAAAAAATCCAAAGTAGGTAGGTAGAGAGACTTAGCTTCCTTAAAGGCACAAGAGAAAGATTTAGAAGAAAAAGGTAAGTTCTTCATATTAGGATCTCTCTTCTTACTTTTACATCTGGTAATTGAACCCAGAGCTCTGGGCATGCTAAGCATAAGCTCTGTCACTAAGCTATACTGCTTCCTCTCTGTCCTGATCATTCAAAATTCTTTTCCTTCTTATTTTTATTATATAAATGTATTTTGCCTGAATTTATGTCTGTGTAACACATACATGCCTTGTCTACAGAAGTCAGAAAAGGGCATCAGATCCTCTGGAATTGGAGCGGTTGTGAGCTACTATGTGGGTGCCAGGAACCGAAGCTGGATCCTCTGAAGGAACAGATCCACTGAGCTATCTCTCCAGCTCTGAAATAATACCCTTTTATCCATCTCTCTGTCTGTCTGTCTATCTATCTATCTATCTGTCTGTCTGTCTATCTGTCTATCTGCCTTTGTTGAGATCGAGTCTGGCTTTGTAGAATAGGCTGGCACTCCTCTCACCTCTTTTCTCTGTTTTTGTTTTTAAAGATTTATTTTATTCTTGTTGTACATGTATGAATTTAGTTTTGTTTTGTTTAGTTTTGGTTTTTTTTGATTATTGAGACAGGGTTTTTCTGTGTACTTTTGGTGCCTGTCCTGGATCTTGCTCTGTAGACCAGGCTGGCCTCGAACTCACAGAGACCCACCTGGCTCTGCCTCAGGAGTGCTGAGGTTAAAGTCGTGTGCCACCACTGCCCAGCTATGTATGAGTGTTTTGCCTGCATGCATGTAAATGCATGCATGCTGTGATCTTGGCTTCCAGAAGACAGCATCAGGTCCCCTGGAACTGGAGGGACGGATGGGGGTGAGCCACCATGTGGGTGCTATTGTCAGGCATTTGTTACCCCAGCACTAGGAAGGCAGAGATAGGAGGATCTCTGGGGCTTGGGCTATCCACCCTAACCTAATCGGCAGGTCCCAATGAGAGAATCTGTCTCAAAACAACAATACCACTAAACCCAAACCAGTGTGGACAGCAGTGGAGTCAGTGAGCATACATGAGTGGGTATTTGAACACATGTACACTCTTTCAATCTTTCACACACGAAATGTTACTGCTTACAAAAAGACTTTCGCAGAAATAGTGGAACCATTGGTCTTTCCTTTCCAGATTATCCTTGATATTACCCTGCTTCTCTGAAAATGGAGAGGGAAAACACTGGGAAGTCCTAAAGAATCATTTTGAGAAGTTGTTGAAGAGTACTTATCATTGTGCAGGTTCTAAGTAGAAAAGGACAATTTCACAAATGGCATTTGCCCTTCATACCCTATTTACTGAAATGGGGATTTTCTTAAATGTCTGATGTAAGATGCTATAATTTAAATGGTTAAAGTATTTAGAACCAGCCTTGTCATCCAGAGTTTAGGGGAGAGGAATTCCCTTGAGTGTCCTGGTCAAAAAGAGCCTGGAGGAAGATTCAGCACTTAAAAATAGATAGAGGGGCTGGAAAGATGGTTCAGCATTTGCTGCTCTCCCAGAGGAGCAGAGTTCAGTTCCCAGTAACTATATGGGGAGGCTCATAACTGCCTGTAACGCTAGGTCTAGGGACTCTGACACCCTCTTCTGACCTCTGCAGGTACCCACACACATTTGGAATGAACTCCTACAGAGAAGCACACACATAGACATACATAAAAATGTAATAAATCTTAAAAAATGGATAAAAATAAAATGGTATTATAGGTGAGGGAGACAGTACAAAGGAATAGACTCAGAGAGATACAGTGCTATATTACGATGAAGCTATTTTTTAGTATTAAACTGTAAGGGGAAAGAGATATTCTGAAAAAATACATTAGAATGGTATCAGTAACTTAGAAAAAAATGATAAAGCCCTCATGTCAGTGAAACTTAGTATAAGGAGCAGGGGAGACGGCAGGCATTAAAAGATAAAAGCAAAAAAATTACCAGAATTCACTTGACACCTTCTGGAAATATGGGAATGGGTGTGTTAAAGTTGACTGCAACTGTTGAGAAGAATAAATGAGTACCGGTATTGGGGTGAGTGAAATAGCTCAGACAGTAAAGGTGCTTGTGGTACAGGACTGGTGACCTGAATCAAATCTCCTTTACCCCTATAAGGTGGGAGGAGAAAACAGACTTCAAGTACAAGTTCTCTGCATTAGGGTCCTCTGACATCCACATGTGCACCGTGGCACACCTGCTTCCCCTCCCCCACTTACTAACAGAAACAATAGGGGTGATAATAGTTTTAACAAAGAATACTAGAAGCCTTATTAGAGATAAGAAAATTGAGAAAGAAAGCTGGGCATGGTGGCATGTGCCTAATGTCTGCATACTGGCAGCTGAGGCAGAAGGATCCCAAGTTCGAGGCCTGTCTGAGCTATACAGTAAGACCTTGTCTCAAAAAAGGAAAAGGGAAGGAGGAAGGGTAAGTGTAGTTAGAGTTTTCCTGCCTGGCCCACAGTCAGAACAAATCTCTCTCACCTGCCAGTCCCACAGCCTCTCAAACCCGACCAAGTAAACACAGAGACTTATATTGGTTTCAAACTGTATGGCCGTGGCAGGCTTCTTGCTAACTGTTCTTACAGCTTAAATTAATCCATTTCCATAAATCTATACCTTGCCACATGGCTCGTGGCTTACCGGCATCTTCACATGCTGTTTCTCATCGTGGCGGCTGGCAGTGTCTCTCCCACTCAGCCTTCCACTTCCCAGCTTTATTCTCCTCCTTGTCCCGCCTACACTTCCTGCCTAGCCAATGGCCAATCAGTGTTTTATTTAATGACTAATCAGCAACACATTTGCCATACAGAACATCCCACAGCAGGTAAGTACTTAAGCAAGTTGAAGGATCACATGAGTTTTGAAGACTAGGTCCCAGTCAGAAGGGATTTGAGACAGTGGTTTAGTAGTTCATGTGTTATGAGGTAGAAACAGACGGCACAGTGACACTCTCACTATAGATGTGCTTGCTGAGGCTCTGGGGGTCGCTAACAATGCTTCCTGCACGGAGCTCACTTAGACATCCTTATAACATGAACATTCCGTTCCCTTTTATTTTTCGTGAATTTTCATTTTATTTATCTTTAAAATTCTATTTTTATGCCGGGTGGTGGTGGTGATGGCACACGCCTTTAATCAAAGCATTCGGGAGGCAGAAGCAAGCAGATCTCTGTGAGTTCGAGGCCAGCCTGGGCTACAACGTGAGTTCCAGGAAAGGCACAAAGCTACACAGAGAAACCCTGTCTCGAAAAACATAAATAAATAAATAAACAAACAAACAAACAAACAAACAAACAAATAAATAAATAAAATAGATTTTATGTGTATACGTATTTTGCGTGCTTGTATGTCTAGCACCACGTGCATGCAGTGCCCACAGAGACCAGAAGAGGGCATCAGATCCTTCTGAACTAGTGTTAGGAATACTTTTAGCTGCCCCATGGTTGCTTGGAATTCAACCCAGTTCCTTTGCAAGATCAAAAACTGGTCTTTTTTTTTAAATTACATTTATTTATTTTTAAATTTATTTATTTTTATTTTATGTGCATTGGTGTTTTGCCTGCATGTATGTTTGTGTGAGGGTGTCAGATCTTGGAGTTACAGACAGTTGTAAACTGCCATGTGGGTGCTGGGAATTGAACCCAGGTCCTCTGGACCTCTGGAAGAACAGCATGTGCTCTTAACCACTATACCATCTCTCCAGCACCCCCAAAAGTGGTCTTAACCACTGGTTCTCTAGCCCTGATTTATTTTATTTTTAATCATGTATATGCATGTTTGTATGTGGGTATGTGCATGTGAGTGCAAGTTCCTGTGGATGTCAGAAGAGGGTGTTGGATCCCTTGGAGATGGAGTTGCAGACTGTGAGACACCTCATATAGGTGCTGGGAATTGAATTTCGGTCCTCTGCAAAAGCAGTATGTTTTCAACTGCTGAGCCACCTCTCCAGCCCTATCATTCTGTGTTTCTAATACTCACTCATATAGACATGTTATGGTTGGTTTGAGGACCTCTGAATAAGCAGAAACAAGAACAGGGAATTTGTTGTGGCTCATATGAATACTTGTAACTGCAGCCCTTGGGAGGTAGAGACCTGAGGAACAGGAGTTCAGGGTCATGCTGGAGTACATAGTGAGTCTGAGTCTATGAGAGTCCCTATCAGAAAAACAGTAACAACAGAAGAAAGAAAGGCAGGGGGCTCACATCTGTGCTTTAGAGTTCCTATTTGGAAGAAAGACAGGCGTGTTTCTGAAGCACCTGTTCTCTGTCTTCTCCTTTCATTCCAGGCCCTTTGGAGAATACCTATCGTGACTTCTGGCTCATGGTTTGGGAGCAAAAAGTTTTGGTGATTGTAATGACTACCCGGTGAGTTAGTCGTCTTTTTTCCATAGACTCCCTGCCTCTACCCTGACCGTATGCTTGAGTGACTAGGAAAGCCATGGCATCTCTAGTTAACATGCTAGGGCACAGTGGAGAAAGGGCTAGCCTTTAGATACTTAATCCTAGTTCTAGGGACCCAGTGCTAATTAAAGCCTGGCTCCTGGCTGACTTCCCTAACGGAAGTGCTGTGAAGCAGAAGCAGCTCACCTTTAAGCTGGCTCTTGTCTCAAGAGGAAAGATGTCTTCCTGGCTGCTGAATTACCAGGTAGCTTTGCTTTTCATATTCTGCTTTCTTTGACTGCTTTCCTCTTCATATCTACCTGTAAGGGAACAGAGAAAAGAGAGTTGAAACATGAGGCAGGAAGTTCTGAATGAAGGGTTGTTTTTGAAATTTGGCAATTCTGCCAAATTTAAGGAATTTCATTTTTTATTAGTTTCATCATTAATTATAACCTATTTCAGATGAGGAAGAATGAAAAGATGATGGCCGGGCAGTGGTGGTGCATGCCTTTAATCCCAGCAATTGGGAGGCCTAGGCAGGCGAATCTCTGCATTTAAGGCCAGCCTGGTCTATAGAGTGAGTTCCAGGATGGCCAGGGCTACACAACGAAACTCTGTCTCAAATATTGAAAGGAAGGTAGGAAGGAAGGAAGGAAGACAAAATGTTTGCTCAGTTTCCTTCCTCAGGGCACTGTTAACTGCCATCTGTAGTTAAGAGAAGTACCACCTCAGAGTATTCTGCGGCCATGGAGAAATGGTGAGATGAAGTCTATGGACCTCTTAGTCATATCCATGAGTTGTTTTTCCCTGTCCTGACTCACCAAGCGCCCTTAGTGGAGAAGAAACTGAGCAGTGGCTTAGGTCTGGTCCTTACTATGCTTCTGCTGCTGTATTTATCTCAGTTAAGTGAGAAGATATAGTCAATGCACCATGCATGTCTGCCAATTGGACATGTGGAGGAACTTTAGCTGTTTTAACATCTGCTTAGAATGGGGAGTTTCCCTTCTGTTTTTGCAGAGTATCAGTAGTAGACTTTGGGAGCAGTGCGGATGACATTGCCGCCCAGGAGCTCAGCAGTTTGTGGTGGGAAGAAGCTCATTGCTGGTGACGAGTGAAGGCTTAATTTACTCTGTTTGTCTTCAGCTTTGAGGAAGGCGGCAGGAGAAAATGTGGCCAGTATTGGCCTTTAGAGAAAGACTCTCGGATCCGATTTGGCTTCCTCACGGTGACTAATCTAGGAGTGGAGAACATGAACCATTATAAGAAAACGACTCTAGAAATTCACAACACAGAGGTAAACGAAGCTTTCCATTTTCTCCGTGTTTTTAAACTAGGGAAGCTCCTTTAAAAAAGAGACTCTCATTGAGCATGGTGATGCATACTTTTAATCTTAGCACTCAGCAAGAAAAGGCAGGTGGATATCTGTGAGTTCAATGTCAGCCTGGCCTATGTAGGAGTTCCAGGCCATCCAGGACTACATATTGAGTTCCTGTCTCAACAAAACAAAAACAGAAAAAGAAAATTTCTAGAGAGAATAGGCAGGATTTTATTGAGGTTATAAACTGCTTTTTGCTTTTTCTATAAACAAATTAAAGATACTCAATTAAAAAAAGCCAGTTATGTGGTGCATGCCTTTAATCCCAGCACTCCAGAGACAGAGGCAGGTGTATCTCTACGAGTTCAAGGCCAGCCTGATCTACATAGTAAGTTCCAAGCAAATGCTACATAGACACACACACACACACACACACACACACACACACACACACACACACACACCCCTTCCAAAAATAGATATTCAACTCAGAACTTATATAGTCATTGTCTCAATACAAGAGTGGCATTAAAGAGAAATAAAACTTTCAACATTGGGAATCTGGGTCTTAAGCCATGCTTATTATCCTATCATGCAGGAGGCTGAGCCAAGATTACAAGTTTGAAAACAGCCCGGACTGCATAATATGGATCTTGTCTCAGAATACTACAGTAAGGGGCTAAAGAGATGATGGCTTAGCTGTTAGAGTCCTTGCTACTCTATCATGAGATGGAGAGTCAGATCATGGCACCTATGCATCAGCTGGGAGTCCCATGCATGCTTATCAACAACTCTGATGGAGGTAGAGGCAAGAGGATTCCTGGGCTTTCTGGCTTATAGGCTAGCTTTGGCTACATGAACTCCAGGTTTAGAGAGAGACTCAAAGAACAGACAGAATGTGTTAGAGGAGGACACCTGATGTCTTCCTCCCGCTTGCATGTGTACATATGCACACATGTACATACACCCAGACACATAGATGTAAATGCACACACAAATGGACTAAGTCAATAAGTAGATGAATATGTTATTGTTCTATTTTGAGACAATGTCTCTCACTGTAGCCTTGGCTGGCCTGGAGCTCACTATATAGATAGACCAGGCTGGGCTCAAAGTCATAGAAATCTGTCTGCCTGTCTCTGCCTACTGCATTTTGGGATTTCAAGGTGTGTTCCACCATGCCTAGCAATTTTTTTTTTTTGATATTACAATTTAATTACAACATTTCTCCCTTTCCTTTCTTCCCTCTATAAACCTTCCTTGTTCTTCAAATGCATAGCTTTTTCCACTAATTGTTATTGCATGCATATACATATTCGTGTATGTGTTATTGCATGCATATATATATTTGTATACATATTATATTCCTAAATATAACCTGTTGAGTCCATATAACTGCTTGTATTATGTTTGTAGAACTGACTTTTGGGCACTGGACAACTAGTTGGTATGCACTATCCTGGGGAAGACCACTTCTCTGGCTAAAAAAACCAAAACAAAACTTTTTTTTTTTTTTAACTACAAAAATAAACAAGAAATATGGGTCCTACAATATAGTGATCTGTCTTCCCAAAACATTTAGCCCTTCCTCCAGGTTTGAGGTAGAGAAGCAATTGTGATGAGAGCAGAAGACAGCCTTTGTGATCCAAATGCTAAGGTGTTAAGAACCTGCAAAAACCCAGGGTAGTCAGAGTAGATGGGAATGACGGCATTAACTTTTGCTTCTTTCTTTCTTTCTTTCTTTTTTCTTTTCTTTTTTTAATGTAAGGAGCGGCAGAAACGCCAGGTGACCCACTTCCAGTTCCTGAGCTGGCCGGATTATGGTGTCCCTTCCTCCGCAGCTTCTCTCATTGACTTTCTGAGAGTGGTCAGAAGGCAGCAGAGCCTGGCTGTCGGCAGCCTGGGGGCACGGTCCAAAGGGCCGTGCCCTGAGCCACCCATCGTGGTACACTGCAGTGCGGGCATCGGCAGGACAGGTACTGTACCTCCTACACTGGTGCCGGAGGGGTGGAGAGGAGGGGAACTCAGTCAGTCCCTTGGTGGCAAACTGCTATGATAATCACTCTTTAATGTCCTTTTGTATTCTTTGTGCTAGGGATACTACTTGTCAAAATATATAATTAACAAACCAAGTTCTTGGAATTGTTTTATACATTCCATCATCATGGTCTTCTTTCTGACCGTGTCAACTCTGTTAGCACCATGATTGTGATCCCCAGAGAGATTAGCTGGCCCTCTCCTGGGAGCCTCTTCTCCCTGTGCTGATCTTTTCTTTCCCTCCCCTTTCTTGTGGTTTTTTTTTTTTTTTTTTTTTTCCTTTTTGAGGCCAGTCTTACTATGAAGTCTGATCTGACCTGGAATTCACAGCAATCCTTTTGCCTTAACCTCCCAAATCATGGGATTATAAGCTTGTACCATCTTACGTGGCTTCTGTGTTCTTCATTATGGAGCTGATTAATAGCTTTGGCTTGATGGGATGTGTGCTGTATGAGCTGCTGGCTCTGTGAGTTCAGAGGTCCCTTTGGGAGAAGAATCAGGACCAATTTGTGGTAGACAAGCTCTGGAAACTGCTGTGGAAGTGTGGTTGCTCTGATGGTATTGAAGCTGGAAGTTCCTCTGCATTACTTACCTACTTCCTCATCTTGTTACCCATGTATGTTCTGAGAAACAGGGGACTCTGTCATTTCTCTGGCCTTTAGCACAGCCTGCGATACTTTGAGGCCTAAGTCCTCTTGCTATCAGATCCTTTGCCTTTGAATTCATCCATCCAGTCTTGCAAGGTGATTTGGTAAAAGGAAGAATATGAAGGAGGAACAGTCATGTGACTATTTCCTTTCTTCTTCAGGTACCTTCTGCTCACTGGACATCTGCCTGGCACAGCTGGAGGAGCTGGGCACCCTTAATGTGTTCCAGACAGTGTCCCGCATGAGGACACAGAGGGCCTTCAGTATCCAGACCCCTGAGCAGTACTACTTTTGCTACAAGGCCATTCTGGAGTTTGCAGAGAAGGAAGGCATGGTTCCCTCGGGTCACAGCCTGTTGGCCATGGAGGGTCAATAACTGTTCCACGAGTTTCCACCTGCTGGCCAGCCTTCCTTAAACTACCCTGGACACCGCTGAGCCTCTAGGTTGCCATCAGTTACGCTGAAGCCATGGATCAACCTCTTTCTTGTGTCTCCCAGCGCACATGTGCACGCAAGGCAGCCTTTCCCTTTGGCTAGATCATGTGGTGCAGTTGCCACTAGAAAGGGCCAGCAGCAATGTGTTCTTAATTCCTAGCACCTGCTATTGAACTGTGCCTTATTAAAACCAAATTGTGGCTGTTGATTTTTGCCAGGGTCCCTGAGGTAAGTGGGGAAGGAACCCCTATCTCCCAATGCCATTCTTCTTCTAGAAGTCTCTTCCTTCCCTCTGCTAGGATTTGACAGGGAGGTTTGGTGAGCATTCACCTTCCTGCCCAGAGAGCTTGACCAAGTTACATATTCTAGAGAATGTCCCGAGTGCCAAGCACGTTTATACATAGGGCGTGTATTCCAGTCTTTTCTGTCATTCTGTGTGTGTGCGCGTGTACTTACGTGTATGGATCCATATGTATGTGTGTATATAATATATACTGTATGTGATAATATGGTCATATTCTATAAATACATATACACACAGATACTCTTTGTAGAAGTTCCTGGGGCTTCATGTTGCAGTTGAGCATTCCTTGCTTCTTGGACCCTGCTGACCAGTCTGGACTAGCTGGGGTTGGGGATCATGCTCATGTCGTCAGACAGTGAGAGAAGACAACACATACTTTTCCGAGGCCACAGGCCCACTCCCTTACTGGTACCTTTCCCTCTGGACTCTATGCTTGTGGGAGTCAAAAATACTGACTTATGGTAACACTGGTTCAGTTTCGCATGGGTTGTCCTTCATCTAACAAATTCTGTTTACTTTGTTGATTTGGGGAACAGACCTCCACTGTGATTCCAGACTCTGTCTTATTACCCCAGCATTGGGGGGTCCAAGGCTAGAGATGAATTTACAGAGCTGCCAGAGCCAAAACTAATCGGTACGAAGTCTTAAAAGAAAGAAGGAGAATCCTGGAGTGAATGAGAGGAACCTACTATGAAATTCCCTTCCTGGGAAGACAAACTGGGGCCCTTTTTCTTTTGTTGGAGACCCCTTCCTTTATGCAACTCTTCCTTGTCTACTGAGATGCCCAGCTCTCCCTGCCTGCTAGCCTGCCAGATCCTAGACCTCAAACTGGATGGGTTCTTTGTCTTTATAAAGCATACTCCCCTTGGCTGGATGAGGTAGTTCCTGTAATCACTGGTTCCCTGCCCATCCAACTTGTTCCTGTCTTTTCCCAGTCTGATTCACCAGGAATGGAATCAAGAGTTCTCAACACTCAGTGTTCCTACAAAACCCCACTGAACCCCTAAACCTTTCCCTACTCCAGATGATGAGGTTGGCAGCTGGTCAGACCCAATAATTTTATACTGTAATAAGATCTTTGAATGTGTATATTCTTATTTTTTACAATCATTTCATTTTGTATTTAACATCAATGGACTGAATCAGATTCAGTAAATAATTGTAATGTTCATATTCAATATCTTATAGTGGTACAGTTTTGTATTTACATATAAATATACCAACATGATTAAACCCTTTTAGCTTCATCAATTTAGCAGTCTGTGGTTGGGAAGGTGAGGAGGGAGTCCAGGAGCTGGTTCTGGACAGATGGGGTGGCAAGGAGGGATCCAAAGCTTCCAATGAGACTCAGTTCTGAGAGGCACCTGCCATGTCTGTGGCTAGGGTCTTAGCTTTGGACAAACTGAATCCTTGTTGTATGGCCATCTTAGTGCTAAGTGTTTTGTCCCTTATGTTACTTCACTGAAACGTCACAGTTCTAGTGAGTATCCTCTGTCCTTCCTACACATCCTTCTTCCATTTCTCTAGTGTTGGGATTACAGACATGTGCTACCTCATCAGGTGTTTTTCACCTAATGATAAAGGCGAAACGTGTATAATGATATAATAATGTAATGTATAAATGAGAAAGGTGAGGTCCAGAGGAATACAATGATTTGGTCTAAAACTGTAACCCAAACTGTCTCTTGACATCAGATCTGGAGTGGTGCTTGTCTTTAGAGACTGTTAGGATTTTTTGTTGTTGTTCTGTTCCTCTTAGAGTATAATTGGTTTGAAAACTCTAGGACAGTTCATGGTTTTGTTTTGTTTGTGTGTTTTGTTTGTTTGTTTGTTTGAGACAGGATCTTACCACATAGGCTGTTTTTGAACTCAGGCCAATTCTGCTACCTTAGACACCCAAGGGCTGGGATTATACGGCATCTACTGCCTCACCCAGCTTAGGTAAATTGACCTTGAGCTCATTGCCTTGTAGTGGACTTGAAAGATCACAGAATTGGTGACATTCTCCCAGATGGGGATCTCTTCTCTATCCTCAGATCTGCACAGTACCAAAGGGGCCATGCTTCCAGAGAAACCCCACCAACTCTGTCCTGCTAGTCTTTCTCTTGGAGTGGAATAAGAAGCATTGGCCTTATAGGGACACTCTTCTTATCACGTGTTTTGTACCCATTAGCCAGTGACACGCTGCCCCATTGGAGCAGCTATGGCCTGCAACATGCAAATATTAGGGTGTTGTAAATAACAATAACAACAAACAACATTCAGTGGAAACCCACCATATTCTAGGTCCTGTTCAGAGTACTCTATAGATATTAACACATTCACTCTCAACAACTACTTGAAAATAGGTACTGACAGAAGAAAAGAATTGAAATACCATAATGTTAATTTGCTATGCTGTATATCAAAGGCCCCACTTTTACATTAGAAGTTTCTAGGGATCTGTTTCCCAACATGTAATCCCAACATGAGTGTTGGGATTACAGATGCACACCAGCATTTTATCTAGGTTCCAGGGATCAAATGGAGGTGGTCAGATTTTCTAGGCTAGGGATATGCCAGCACATTTTTCTTGATGTTTTTACTTTAACCAAACCTCAACTGTTGGATGTTGTGGAACTCAACTGTGATCTCAGTACTGGAGAAGTAGAGGCAAGTTGATTAGGAGTTCAAGGCCAATTTTGGCTATACTGGTAGTAGGAGCCCAGCCCGGGCTACGTGAGACATTTGTCTGAAGAAGAAGAAAAAGAAAAAATGGTAGCAGATTAAGATAGAATCTCTAAAATTTGAAATCAAAGATATGCTGAATTAGAGAGATTACAGAAATACTAAGGGTTTGCAAAATATACAGGAAACAAGCATTAACAATAAAAAGCCTTGAAGAGGTAATTCAAAACTGTTATTTGTTCAAACATGCTGTAATTTTGCCCTGTAAATTCCTCAATTCAAAGTTGTGCACTAGTTCCTAGATGCAAGCTCCTGGGCCCACCCAGTTGGTAGTTGAGTGACTAGAGGATGCCCTAGGCTTTTGGAGTCTTCGTTTGCTCATGTCTCAGATTCTGGTTACAACCAATGATGTCTCCTGAATATTCAGTAAAACCCCTGAGAGAAAAGGATTCAGTAGTTTTCACCAGACTGCTATTATGAATAGTGTTATTTTTATTAGTATTGAAATTAAAAAAAATTTGGTGGCTTTTAAAATTTTTTTAGAAAATAATTTAGTACATGTATGTACATGGGTACTTGCTTGCCATGGTGCACAGATCGAAGTCAAGAGGATAATTCTCACCTTGCACCGTGATGAGGTAGGTTGTTTCTCTTTGTCTGCCATGCTGTATATTCCAGGCGAGATGACTGTGTGGCTTCCGGACCGTTATCCTTTCTCTACCACTCATCTCTCCCATAAGTGTTGGGATTACAGATGCACGCCAGCATTTTATCTAGGTTCCAGGGATCAAATGGAGGTGGTCAGATTTTCTAGGCTAGCTAGTATCTTCATCCATTGAGGCATCTCCCCTGCTCTAATTTGTTTGAACTTTAAAATTTTTTAAATTTTTACTTTCTGAGAAATCGTGAAAATCCTGACTCAGCCTTCTGAGTGCTAAGATCACAGATATGTGCCACTATGGCTATTTTTTTAGACTGGGTCTCACTGCGTTGCCTACATTGGTCTCAGATTTCTGGGCTTAAGTGCTCCTTTTGCTTGAATTTCCTGTGCAGCTGGGATTACAGCAGATTTGTCCCCACACCCAGCTGTTTATAGCTTTTGCCAGTGTGAGCCTACCTGTGGTAGGGTTTTTGTTTTGGGAATTTTGTTTGTGTGAGACAGGGTTTCTCTATATAGACCATGTTGGCCTGGAACTCAGATCCATCTGCCTGCCTCCCAAATGCTGGGATTAAAGGAGTATGCAACCCACCTGGCTTGGTAGTAGACCTCAGTGAGCCCAAGGAAGAGACGCTCAGAATGCTCAGGACGGGAGGGGCATCACATAGTCAATAAAGTTCGGAATGAAGAGCACCACTGTGGGCCTATGCAGACTTCTGCTTCTGATTGGATTCTCCCCCCTCCTAACATTCCTATGGTTTCTAATTGCTCAGGCACAAAGGATCATCTCTCTGTTCTCTGTATTGCTTCCTTCATGCAACTAGAACAACGAGTGAAGTGATCCCCCACATCTTCAGCCTAGGAGACCTGCCATTGCTAGTGTCTGTTACATCGTACTGGTCAATGGCAAGAGTATGAGTGTGAAGTGGAAGAGGCCGGGGTGTGTGTGGCTAGTGGACTATGTAGTCTCACGACCCCAGGGAGAATTGGCTCTTGCTCATAAAAGGATGCATTCAATCTCTGGGGCAGTCCCAAGTGCAGGAACTTGCAAATTAATATGACCTGAGGGAGGTGAGCTATGAGACTAAGGTGGATGAATTGGCTAGACAGAAAGGTTTTCCTAGAATGACTGAGGTCTGTAGTGGTTCTGAGGTTTTAACCTACTCAACCCAGCCAAGTCCTAGCTTCCTTCTTTAAAAGGGGCTACTTTAAACAACCACATACTATAGGTCCACTAAAGGCCTAGTTTTTTTTTTGAATTATCAGATTCTTCCTTAGGCTGGATTAGCTTCCACTTTATCTCCCCAATTTTATCTTATTTTCAAAGGCTCTTCTTTCAAACTCTGGCCATTTCCTTAGATTCCCTCAGTTCTTTTCTATTTCACCCCCAGCTTGGATAGAAAGTAGGTTAAAGCCTAGGTTTGGTGGTGTGTCTCTTTAATCCTACCATCAGAGGCAGACAAGACCTCTATGAGTTTGAGACCTGCCTAATTTGCATTACAAGTTCCAAGACAGCCAAAGTTACATACAGAGAGCCTGTCTCAAAATGTAAAACAAAACCAGAGGAGGAGGAGGGAATGGAAAGAAAGAGGTACCCTTGACTCTCCATGTCTTTCTCTTCCTAGTTGCTCTATGTGGCATGACAGGTGTCTGAGAGCCAAAGAATTAGCTTGCCAAGCCTCCCAGGGCTCCTGCTCTGTCTTAGATTTGTTTTGGGTCTAGGTCTCAGTCCACTGGTCATGTGGGAGTAGAAGGTCTGCTCGCCAGAGAGTCAGGCTTTTCGGGGGGAGCTATCTTTCCCATACTTAACCATCAAACTTTTTTTTTTTTTTTTTTGCATTGTACTGTACTTAATTGAACAGAGGAGACAATTCTTCTCTAGATAGGAATCTAGCATTTGGGAAGTTGTTTAATCTCCATCTACTTAGTCATAGCCATCATAGTGCCCTTCCTCCTAGTTCAGTTAAATACTGAAGTGGTTAAGACTCACATTCTTCAGGCTAAGGCCTTGGAAGATGTAGAACTATACTAGAATCTCTCTAGGAAAGATAGGTATAGGGTGGGAGCTCCTGTGTCTTAAAGAACAGCTTAAAGTAGTTAGTATGTTCCTGATGGTTACTGGGACTCTGATGGCTAGCGTCACTAAAGGCTGATTTCCCTGTACTTGCATACCACATTAAATTCTTCTCGTTTTCTAAGCTACTGCAGAGTTCTGTCTAAAACCTTCAAGTCTGGCCAGATCCAGAGCAGAGCAAAGGTTAGCCATTTCATCTAGAGGCATCTCTTCATTTACTTCCCAACTTAAGTGCATACCCTGCAGGGTTCTGTCTGGGAGGAAGATTGAGGGAATGGGGAAGGAATATGGACAATGCTCAGGCTGCCTTCACGTCTACTCAAACAAGGGATCCCTTTATCTCTTTGATAGTGGGCTTCTCAAGTAGGTTTTATTTGAACAGAGGAACCTGTTGTCTTTTAAAAAAAAAAAGTCACCAGCCACCAATCTGTCTATAATACAAGGCCAGATAAACTGGGGGAATATCCTAGTATTATATCTGCCTTCTTGATTTAGGATTGTAGTGACTCTGGGTAGCTAGTGTCAATGAAGAGAAGACATTTCCAAGTAGTGAGTAACCTCAGTCTTTAAATCCACTAAGAGATTCTAACCTTTTAATAATAAATATTGCCGTATATGCCACTGAAGATAGATAGATAGATAGATAGATAGATAGATAGATAGATAGAGAGACAGACAGACAGACAGACAGACAGACAGATAGATATGAGAGTTTTTTATTTGAGGTCTGCAATGCCAGGGACTTTGCATTTAAATGGCCAGGAGAGGAGTGTGGTGACTTTGAAAAAGGAAGAAAAAGTGAAGGACTCTTACTGTTTGCTAGACATACTTATTTTCAATTCCCGAAA